TGGGTGGTGGATCATTCTCAGCACTGCAGTAACACTGATGTGGTGGTGGTGTGTTAGTGTGTGTTGCGCTGGTATGAGTGGATCAGACACAGCGGTGCTGCTGGAGTTTTTAAACACCTCAGTGTCACAGCTGGACTGAGAATAGTCCACCAACCAAAAATATCCAGCCAACAGCGTCCTGTGACCACTGATGAAGGACTAAAGGATAACCAACACAAACTGTGCAGCAGCAGATGAGCTATCGTCTCTGACTTTACATCTAGAAGGTGGACTGACAAGGTTGGAGTGTCTAATAGAGTGGACAGAGAGTGGACACAGTGTTTAAAAACTCCAGCAGCACTGCTGTGTCTGATCCACCTCGTACCAGCGCAACACACACTAACACACCACCACCACATCAGTGTTATTGCAGTGCTGAGAGTGATCCACCGCCCAAACAGTACCTGCTCTGTGAGGGTCCATGGGGGTCCTGACCACTGAAGAACAGGGTAAAAGGGGGCTTACAAAGTAGGCAGAGAAACAGATAGACTAAAGAAAAATGCCATAATTAAGTTTGTTTGTTGAGGATGTGTCAATATGACTGTAGCCTTTTGCTGCATATTTTTTAGTTTATTACTTTTTTGTTTAGGAGGGCTGCATGTGTATGTATTTACAGGATAATATTAAAAAACACAAAGTTCAAGAATATGTGTAGCCCAGTGAGACATTTCATTCAATTCCTTTAGCATTCTCTGTCTGAGACATTGTAGTGTGACTGTGCGTTTTCAGGGTGTATCGAAATAACAAGTGTGTGTGCAGGCCTGGATAAGCTCTGTTTCCAGGCAGGTTTTCAGGGAGACCAGACTACGCCCTAAGCTTTTTTTTCCCTCCGTCTTCTCCACCGAAAGAGCACACATTACGTAACAGCGCTCGACCGTGCAGAAAGTGTTAGCTGACAGCCTGACTGATCCAGTTCACGAGTGGCGAAGGCAGCAGACTGGGTGGGGGAGGTGAGGAATAGATAGACACAGAATGGTGAAAGGGAAATAACAAGGGCATCTCGATTAGAGAGCCATCACTCACTTCTGAGCACATTATGAGTAATGGACATGATCTGACAAGACTTCATCTAGAGCCTTCATCGGGTGAAATTCACTGCGGTCATATTCATGGAGCCTTGTGGATTTATCAAAGTCTTACATTTCTTAATGGACCTCCTTAACAGCCACTCGTATGACTACCCTGTTAGACTATCACCAGCCTAGGCTGCTTAGAAAATGCCATCTTCCTCTTCCGCTCTCTTTTCTTTTGTTATATGAATGTTCTGCAGCTCTGAGAGCACTGAAGCTGCAGCACTTGAAGCTCCAGATAAATGCATGGCACTCCTAGAGCACTCAGCGTCCCACAGACTCTGACATGTCTTCCAGAGCCACTGGCTCCCCATGCGCTTTAGATAACGGGGTGGCTGAAGCCAAGTAGGCTGGATATGTTCTGAGTGGCAGCTCAAGTGTGTTATTGGTCTCCATCTCCAGAGAATCCAAGTCAAAATTACAAGAATGTGGAGTGGATTAGCTAAAGAGGCAGCAATGTATGAGATGCAAGACTTCCATTCCATGAATTCTGTGGAAACGATGTGGCTGAGAGATGCAATGATGTGCTACAAAAATGATATAACAGGACAAAGAACGTATACATGATAGTCTTAGGCTTGAATGCCCCTTTAAAGCTTGCACCCAGATGATATCAGATGATCCTTAGTTCCTGAAAGTGGAGAAGTGAGATTTACAGTGAAAGGGCCACTATTTTCAGTCAAGGTTCCATAACATTTTTGTATGTAAATTGTCTCTGATCTGGTTGTCCCAGCAGTCTCAGCTGAAATGTACAGAACAAAGGGTTAAGTTTGGACTGAAATCTTCAGGGATGTTGAAAAATAACTCCTTTAGGATGTCTGGATGTGTTGGAAGGCTGCCATGAAAAATTTGCTTCCTGACAGCCAGGAACAGCACAACGTTTAATCATTTTCCACACATCCTCCACTCTAGTAACTGTGCTACAGACTGTAACAACACTTTTTAAAATGGATTCAAAACAGGCTGTTTTTGCAGTTCACTTACCATATGGACTTTATATACAGGGGAGTGAACAGTGCATTTTGAAACTATAGCACTATTTGCACAGTACAGCACATATTTCAGAAAAGCAGACAATTTGGTTTTCCATAATATGGACACTTTAATAGATCAGGCATTATATGGTACATCCATGACATTATCATGAAGCTTGTTTACACTTTTAAGTAAACACTTGTTACACTTTTTTTTAAGGGTCACCATCAGAGTAGTTATAGAACATGGGTGATACAATTCATTGGGATGTTTGGTTGCCTCTGAGGCTCTTTGGCCTCTACCCTTTTCTAAAGACAAACATGTTTGTTGCTCACTGTCTCACGACATGTCTATCTCTAAATGACCCTGCTCTTGAGTGTAGAATCCAAACACGGCTCTTCAGATTGGCTGTGCTTGCCACAGGGTGATTAGTGCCCATTTAATTACTCTTATTTTCTTTTACCCAGTTTGAACTAAGCACTATCCAAGCTATGACCAAAGATAGGGGAGTACTTTAAATGGAATCAAGGATAGCATCAAGATTACAATATTTAAAGTAAACATTTGCACCATTGTTAGATATGTTCTGTAGACTGTTCTCAGTAAAAGCACATAACATGTCATAATGTATGTCGGTTTCCATTATAGCATTCCATTTATGTTAAAAAAGATGAGAATGAAATATGTAGAATAGTAGTATATTTTCCTATATATTAAAGGGATCATCTGGCCAAAATGAAACATTTAACCATCTCTAAATTAAATGTAAACATGCCTACTTGCATTTTTCAGTGTCTCTAAAGTGAAATTCTCCTCTTTAAAAACTAGGGAAACTTCCTTCTAATGATGTGTGTTGAAGGTTTGGGGAACATTTTTAAAATTACAAATACTTTACTGTGAATACCTGAGGGCATTGGTTATATGATGTATTTACCTTATGCATGGTGGGTATTGTGGTGAGAGAACACTGATAGATGAAGACACAGAAACTGTGTATCATGATAAAATCATATAAAATAATGAATTCTGTGAAACTGATGTGGCTGAGGGATGCAATGCTGTGCTACAAAAATGATATAATAGGACAAATAACATATTACATGATGGTCTTAGGCTCAAATGCCACTTTAAAGCTTGCACCCAGATGAAGCAAAAAATAAATTTTACGTGAAAGCAAATTAAGTTACTGACACCACTGGTATTAGGAACTACTTGGCAAGTGGAATATGGGCACTGGACAGCATGCCCAATCAATACTGCTAATTCCCCAGCACTGGAAGAAGATTAGTCATTATTTTGACTCTGTACAGGTAAGCAACTTGAGTGCCAAGCACACTCAAGATTTCATATTCATTATCTCTCTTTCTCTCTACCACATACAATGTGCTTCATATCAATGATTTCTTCACTTCCACTGCAGCCAGTCACAAATGCTTCGGCCTGCAGTTAAAGATACTACAGAAGACAATGCACCATTCTCTTTTTGCCCTCTGTAATGTGATCTCTTATTAAACAGAGCAGTCTTCCTGCTAATCAATTGAATAATTGGACAAGAAGGCCCTGTTTATCATTATAGGAGCCTGCAAACAAAATGCAATCTGTTAAGAAAACAACTGTGATAAATTCAGTGAGGATGCCAATATGCAGATGTCACACAGTCTCATAAAATATTTTGGAAGGAGATTCAGCTGGAAGCAACTGGACTAGCACACTCATAGGCATAGCCTCATTTGGGATCTGCTGACTTGCCTCTAGGCCTCATAGGCAATGACATCCTGGCCGTTTATACACTGCAGATGCTGCCCATCAGCTACAAAATCAACACAACACCTGGAGAGTGGACTGGTTGAGGGGTGACATGATTTCCATTGTAGTTAAATCTACCAGAGTAACTAAATGCGAACCCCAGACTACAGCATTCTTTCGAAGATCTAAGTTTCCTGTTGACAACAAATGCTTTTCAGACAATGGACATGCACCACTAAACTCATCTTTGGGGGAGTGAGAGCACTGTAGAGATAACTCTTTTCTTGCAGCAAGTCACATATTCACAAGAACATGGCAAAGTAGGATTTAGGCTACCGCTGGCAGTCGAACCTTTTATTCTAGATAGTCATCAGTCAGATTCAATGATTACACATAACTGCAATACAAGTAGTAGGCATGACTCCACACTGCATGTCCAAAGGTTTGTAGACACCTGCTAATCCAACCTATAATCTGAAAGCTTTCTGGTTTCCATGGGATATTTTGTGTGGTTGCCAGCTGTAAAGTGTACACACAGTGTATTATAGTACCGATAGGCAGTTTGTTTCAGAGTATTAGCTGAACCCTACTGTGTCTGACAGTCACCAATGATATTTTGTGTTTTCCTGATGGGTTGGTATCACAGTGTAAAGGATTCTTCTTTAACAGGTGTTATAGGACTGATTCCTGATGCATCTGATGGTTTCCTAATGGTTTCTAAATTTGTCCTACAGGAAACTAGTGGTCTCTAATGGCAACCATTAAGCCAGTTCCCATTAGAACTGGTCTTTTTTGAGCAGGAAAGTGTGTTCATTTCTACTTTTTAACTTATCGTGACATAGCCCTTGTTGAGGGACAATAACAAGATCAATTGCACAGCACTTAGGGCCGATTCAGACACACGGAAGCTAGCGCATTAACTTGTGTCGCGGTTTAGCCTGCCATCTCTTGAGCCCAGCCACGCCCGCTGAGTGTACAACACGGGGGGGAGGAGGCTGTCTCCATCGCGACGGTGACGTATTTTCTCACCATCTCATTGGAGCAAAACCCGTGGTCTCAGTCAAGTCCCGCCTCCGTTCCCGCGTTTAACGCTCATTGGTCAATTCCGTTGCATGAACGGCAAAACCGGACCTCAAGAGACGTTCTCATTGGATTACAGCTCCCTTGACCACGCCTTCTTATTTTCAGGTTCGGTTGGACGTTAATCGGAGTCTTTTCTCCCTCCAAAGAGCCGAAGAGGGCAGCGAAACACTGGAGATCCCGTACACGGTGGGTGAGGTTTTTCCTTGCTTTTCTTTCTAGATAGTCGGATAAAACCGCTCACGTTAAATATGTGCTCATACAAAACGGCCGCGACGTGTTACGCTGCGAGGATGAAGACGAGACCTGTCAGAAATATCTTCCCGTTAGCCACATAGCTGCGTTAGCTAGCTAACAGATTCAGGAGCGGTTATGCGGGGTTGTTTTTTAATCGTGGAGATGGATGCAGTTGTCGGGCGGTTCGCGCAGTGTGTGCCTTGTAGATAAAAAAGAAGTCCTCCTTTACATTTAGTCGTACAATTAATATGCATTGTCTTGTATTGTGTCTGTGTTCGCTTTAAAACAGTGAAATAGCTGGCGCTTGTCGTGTCCAATGGTCGTAGTAGCTAGTAGTAACGTTAGCTAGCAGCAGCAGTAGGTGCACTGCTTCACCTCCAAGCCTCGTTCAGCATTACTGCTAGATATTAGCATAGGACACGAAGAAATTAATTTGTCGTCGTTGAAAAGACGTGTTTTTCTTCCTTTTAGCGTGGTGTGTACAGAAAGAGATCATATCTGTGGCCGTGGAGAACAGAATACGGTCGCACCTGTCTAGTGTAGGTTAGCCAGCTGGCTAAAGGTGTTAATCCCCACAGCTAGTCAGGTTCACGCAGGTACTCGTAGGTAACTTGGGCGTTTGTCTTTGCTTTCACTTCATATGGTTCGCGCTCTAGTAGTTAAATCTGTCCTTCGTCGTAACAGTGACCGTCAGTTTGCTCACCCGTTAGCAAATCGTCCTTTGTGATGGCAGCGTAGTTTGTCGTAGTTTTTGGGCTTTTAACATTGTACCTGGTCCTGAAGCGTGTTGCACTAACGTTACAGTAACGCTACACACCTTCTTTCTCCTTTTTGCAGGTACAGCTCGGGATACTCGCTTTCTTTTCTTTCCACTTGCCAGGAACTATTCCTTCTCCCCGCTTTCACTCATTTCCCTGCTCTTCTTACCGGACTCGCCGCTTTGTCGGAGTTAACTTAGTGATTAAGATCCATAGCTAGATTGCCAGCTGCCATTAAAGCCATGGATAAAGCGGAGCTCATTCAGAAGGCCAAGCTGGCGGAGCAGGCCGAGCGCTACGACGACATGGCGGCGTCTATGAAGGCGGTTACGGAGCAGGGCGCCGAGCTGACGAACGAGGAGAGGAACCTGCTGTCTGTCGCCTACAAAAACGTGGTCGGGGCGCGGAGGTCGGCGTGGAGGGTCATTTCTAGCATCGAGCAGAAAACAGATGCCAGCGACAAGAAGCTTCAGATGGTGAAGGAGTACAGGGAGAAAGTGGAGTCAGAGCTGCGCGAGATCTGCAACGAAGTGCTGGTAAGTCGGGCGTCGGTGGTTGTTGCTGTAAGTCCAGTGAAGTGGAGACGCTTATATGGGTAGTAAAGGTTAAGGTCAAGCCACAGTCATCTCTGCGTGGTTACAGATATATATAATTAAGTGATCTGCCACTGGCAGGCGCAGTCCGTCAGCATAAATGTATTTTCATGTTGACCAGAGAAGTTGTTTTTTGTCTCAGGATTAGTGATCCACAAATACTGCACGGCATTTTAGTGCCGTTACTTAGTCATGGTGGTTATGTTATTGTAACAGTGCAGTTTTCTTGAACAATAATGTTAAAAATTCACAAAATTATATTCTGTATTCTATTGCTTATGTACTTTGCTACTACAAAACACAAGTGCTGCTGTGCTGTCAGTCAAAACCCTGAGTACTGGCTGATCATTATTGATGTTACAGTATGGTCCAAGACTAGGCTTAGTCCAGGTCCCTGTGGACTGGTATGAAATGTCCACTGTGGCGGAGATGTGGCTGATGTACCTTGTTTCAGGAAGCAGTCATGGTGGAGATGATGCTTCTTTAGAGCAGTGCGGCGATTGATTCCTTTAACAGTGGTGCAGAGGCGAATGACTCAACTGCTTGCAATCAATATAGCATTGCAGGCAGAAATACTGCGTCCCTGTCTTGCTGCATCTAGTATTTTAGGTTGTGTGTAGCACAGCTAGATTTGCATCATCCCCCCCAATTTAGTTACAGGCCTTTTCAATGTAAAAATCCAAAGAATGGTCTTTTGGGACCAAATCTATGGATTTATCAAACAGTCAGTGAAGACAACGATTGTGATTGGTTTGCTACTCAATATGCTAGATCAGCCTGCTAGTTATGAAGGTGTCAGGGTTTTTCCAGTGGCTGTGTTATAAGTTAACTAAAGGAATTTCTTTTCTGTTTTGCTCAGTTTGCCCTAGTTGTGCAGCCTGTATGCAAAGCAGCACAGTACTTTCTCTTTTCTGTAGCACCTGCTGGAGCTGAAAGGTGTGAGGAGGCAGCAGTAGCTCCGTCTCAGATTACCTGCTTCAGCCCCCTAGTGTTGGCTCACTTCCTCCCACACGCAGGCTTCCCACATGCACGTATGCTGTGGTGAAGGATTAGGGAAGCTAATGTTTCATGCTCTGTTTGCAAGGGAAGGTATCTCTAGTGTCTTCTTGTCTTGCAGGTGCTGGCTGTAGTGTGCTCTATTCTCAACTCGCCCAGTTGTTATGAGCTGAGGAAGTGTGCTCTGATTATAAATAGAGCGTTGAGGTAGAATACTACTGGTGGATTACAGATGCGGTTTGTGCAAAGCTTAGCTTTATGCTAGCTAATCTCACAGGGTGATATAGTTAATAACAGGACCCTCTGCTGAGAGGTATGCTTACTGCACATGCATTGGAAAATATTGTTTAGTTGAACAATTTAATTATTTTTTTAAAGGATTAAAGTATTGTGCATTTAATTTGAGAAACATTTTCTCCTTATATTCCAAAAGCTGTCAGTCAGCCAAGACGAGGTTTGAAGTCTGAAATTTGCATCTTTTAAAGACTATAAAACAGACTCCTTTTAACAATAAACATGAATTCGTGTTACATTCCCTGGTGTTGCTGATTATGTTCCATTAATATACACAGTCCTGTTTAGTCTGAAACAGGCAAATGGATTATTAATCCTGTATGTAACAAACTGTTTGGTCACATGCTTCCATTACTTACTTCATTGAAATGATGACCTCATAAAAAGAGATTCAAAAATGTAAAGCATTGTGCTAAAGTCATGTCACAGAATGCTGTTGCGTTGGTCAAAACATGCAGTACCAGTGGGCCACTGAAGACCAATACTGATGTTTAAATTTCTTTTTGGCTGTGATGGAAAGGGACTGTCTAAAGAACGTGCTGGTTCCTTTAAGAGGAAGCAGTGGCAGGCCTAGTGTTGTTGCTGAGGTATGCTTGGTTCAGCCTATACTGAAGGCATGTGGTTTTCATCTCTCCACAGTAGTCTTTGTAAGACAGGCTTGTTTCATTACCAGTACTGCCAAATTGAGTGGCTGTTTCCACCATCAGACAGTAGGGCTGTCACTATTGATTATATTGATAACCAGTTATGCTCAACTTATTTATATTGATGAATCAAGAAATCTTAAAGCCCACAATAAAATGGACATAACTGTATTGTTATGGACATAACAATAATGTGCCATGCAAGCCATGCCTTTTAAAGTTTATAAAATACTTTATTTGGGAAAAAAAATTGAAATGCTTAAAAAGAAAATGCAAACAAATTGGCTTGTATATCAGTCTCTGTCTTTACTGTAAGAGAGGCCAGGAGGAGAATTTCACATATGCGTCATCATTCAAAGTGACAACTAATTATTACTGATTCATTGAGCAGGTAAATTTTAAACAGTAATTTTGCTTTTGAAGTAATCATGTCGGTCCTTCTTGACACATTTCATCTAGACTAAATTCAGAAATGTCAGTCGGGTTTCAAACTTAGTTCTTTTAGCCTTCCTCCTCATTTAACACACCTGATTCAGCTCATAGGCTAATTAGCAAGGCCTTCATGAGTTGGATTCAAAGTGTTCAACGAGGAAAAATGCTATCTGTACAAAGCTGTGGACTGGAAGGAAGACAGTTTCACACCTCTTCTAATTGTTGTAGATTTGCCAAAAAGGTAAATTTAATAAATGATTTCAAGCAACACTATTTATTAAATACTTATTAAGTTTCATAAATGATGGTGACTTGGTCATTAGTAAGTGTGTTCTGAGAGGCTGAAGGTGTTGGACTACTTATGTGTCATTGTTGTAGTCTCTCACCTGTCCAGTACAGGTGCTTATCTGGTACTGATGAATGGCAAGATGAACTGAGCATGACCTGAAGGGCACTGTGGTTCTGAGGCAAGTGCAGAGTGCCATTCTGTTTAGACTAAATACTCTTATCCACGTCTCACTGTCTCTAGGCTGCATCTCTCCTAGGTGAAGGAGCCTTTTAGGCTAGCATTGACCTCAGATGCTAGAGGAAAGGGCTGGGTTTTCACACAGGATGTCTGCAGACTGTGCTCCACCAGTATGTGTGTGTGTTTGTGCTTGATTTGCATGTTTTCCTCCAAGTGTGGTACCCTTGCACACAGTTACACAAACACCCAGAACAAAATTTCTTATGGTCAGTTAGATAATTTACCTTGCGCTACAAATACTATATCTTTAGGACAGTAGTAGCCTTAGCACAATCTTATGCTAGCCTGAAAGAGGCTCAGCTTTGGTATATTTGCATTAAACCTATTGCATTTGATTATCGATGCTGAGTGACTTCATTATGTTTTAGATGTTGTGTGAGACTATTCAGAACTACAATAAAACTGCTAGTCAATTCTTTAAATCATTTATTGTCATGTAAATAGGCAGTCACTATCTTTTTAGAATTTCACGACAATTTGAATGAATGTAATGGATATGAAAATGTGAAATTACCATTATTAATATGAATTGTTCCATTTCTGTGTTTTTAGGGGCTCCTGGGCAAATATTTGATTGAAAACTCATCTAATCCTGAGAGCAAAGTCTTCTATTTAAAGATGAAGGGTGACTACTTCAGATATCTTGCAGAGGTTGCCTCAGGAGATGATAAGAAAGGTACGTGTGTTTGTGTGCTGCTGTTTAGAACAGGAGTGTCCAACTGAGTTGCTTCAGGGCTACAGTCTGCTTCATTCAACATACTTGATAATTAGCATGGCCTTCATGTGCTGAATTGGAGGCTGTGTCCAAAAGTGCATACTACTATACTACACATACTACATTGCTGAACGCACTAATGTTGGTAGTGTGCAATTTTAACACACTATTCTGTAGGGATGCACTGATATGGGAATTTTTGGACAGTGGTGATATCTGATATTTTTCATGTACATATGTGCTGATACTGATGCATTAACATTTTGTGAAATGTAGGAATTTAGACGAGATCCCCCTGGATTAGCATTACAGAGAAATGTCGTGTTTAGTTGTAGAGCATTACAAATGCAGAGAAAATTTATAAAATGCAGACATTTTAACACAGGAGCCCAGAGTCTCATAAACGTCCTGGAGTACAATAAATCAAATGTCTGTTCGAAATATTGTTCAAAACTAAACATGTGTCTTCAGTGGATCTCGATATGATTACGTTATCATGTATCCCTACTATTCAGTGTGTGGTTTTGGAAACAGCCAGAGTCTTGGAAGAGGGAAATCACTAATCTCTGCAGAACCGTGGCCCTGAAGGAATGCAGTTTGACACCACTGACCTAGAATAACCTGAGGAAAAGATATTAAGTGTTTCTGAGGCCAGTTCTTCCTCCCAAAACATTGTCATAAAAGCAGAAGTGAGAGAAAGTCAGTAGTATACATTTATTTCAGTCTTCCATATTTTAAAGCAAGCTTATTTACATTTACATTTATGGCATTTGGCAGACGCTCTTAACCAGAGCGACTTACAATTTTGATCATTTTTACACAGGTAGGCGAACGTAGTGTTAGGAGTCTTGCCCAAGGACTCTTATTGTTATAGTGTAGGGTGCTGCCCAGGTGGGGGATTGAACCCCAGTCTACAGCATGAAAGGCAGAGGTGTTACCCACTACGTTATACCAACTGCCTTATGTCGAGAGCCTTTAGTCTTAAGTCAGAACAAGTTTGTTGAGCTTGACTTTAACTCACAATAGCGCTCAATGTTTCTCAAAGCAGCTTTTAAATCATCCCTTCTCTGGCTGTGTTGTGTGGAACTCTCCGAAAAGCCATGTCAATAGACAACAAATAGTTTTTGATTGTGATGATGGTCTTTGGGATGCTTTAGTTTCCCCACACACTTTAAAACTGATTATTCATTGTGTTAGTAGTGAAAATGATTAAATAAATGTATGTTCTTGATGTTATAAAATAAGGGTTAACACCTTAAATGCAACTTTGGCACCTAGAGTAAATCTCTCCGGAGCTGTTAACCGCTTTTCTCTTAACTAAGATTACAAAACATGTCAGTGTCATAATTGACACTGACATATTCAATTCAATTGGATACGGTCACTGTTGTCATCAGAAGATACACTGTAGTGTACCTTTCGTTGCTCCTGAATGTAATATAAAGTTTAAAAGACTGTAGGTGTGGCAGATCCAAATATATGTTGATTTAAAAAAAATAAAATTGGTATATATGAAACAAATGCGATAACTGTAAGACAACAGATGAGCATCATGTTTCGAGGCAAATCAAGGGGTTGTGTGGAGAGGCCATGTGAGCGTAACATTTCAGTTATTTGCCTAAGGGGGATTTAGGCTTGTAGGCTTAATTCAAGATGAATAAATTTGGATTCCAAATGTGTTTGAGGAGCTTATCAGTGCCTTGGGGCTTCTTTTGCTGTCAGTGAGTCAGCCTCCCTGCCCTCTGCACAGCTGGAGGATGCTCTCTGCCTGGGTACCTCCTTCTCTCCCATCCCCCTCTCTCCATAGCCCTCTGGCTCCTAGCTAGCCTTAGATCAAGAGCTGTCATAGAGGCCCAATTTTTCAGTTTCTTCCTCACTGCTCTCATTAGATATTGAAGATGAAAGAAAGTAGTAAGCCATTCTGACATTTAGCCAATTTTTAGCCCAAGATTTCCTATGAAAGAAAGATCATCTTCTAGATAATTAGAAGTGTCAAGCTGATATGCTGTAATTGTAATGCATTCTTTCTGGTGACAGTTGCTAGGTTGGACAAGCTTTACAGAAAAGGTTGACAAACATCCCATTTGTCCTAGTTAGAAACTGTAGCATACACACAGTTTTTGTCATCATAAGTAAATGTAGAGTACATGTTTATTTTAAATTTTTATTTATTTTAAATGAATGTGGAAGGTTACAAAGTATGTATGGATTGAGTGTAATTTCTAGGTTGCATAATCAAGCTAGGGTTATAGTGAATCACCATTAACAATATAGTCAAGTCCAAGGCTAGACTTATGAATCCATGTCAGGGAAACCAAGTTAGAGTGTGCAATTACTGGTTAAGGCTTTGCAAGCACAATGGCTGTAGAGTGGGACTGAAGCATTTTGTTGTAGTTACACAAATTCTTAATCTTTGCTTGCAGGCTTTTGTTGAAGCCATTACTGTGGTGGCAGATTCTTTGTCATTCCTAACCTGCTTTATTTTGAGTAGCAACAAAAGCAGTCCAGTTAGTTTGTTCCTAATGCTCATCTGTTGTCTGTCACTACAGCATTTTAAACTGGAAGCTCTTAACGGACATTGTCAATCCACTGTGAACAATTATACAATTTTACCAAAAGAAATTGTCAGTTACAATTTCCCATTAGCATTGGTGGACGTTTTGCACGATTCTGTTAAGTGTGTCCAACCATTTAACAGTTGCTATGAAAAACTCATTTGTGGATGGAGCATGGGTAGATCAATTCATCATAAAGCTAAAAAAACAAAATGGTGTTTAAAAATAAAATGGAATAGTGTTTCAAAAATAAAACAATAACAAAAAAAATGTATGTGTCAGTTTTATTACAGGTAATAAAACTGACAATGTGGAGTTAAATTTTGCATTCTATTTATTTTGCTTAATGCCGTCATTTATTATTTTAACTATTTTCCATTTATGTCCCTTTAGATACGATAACCAACTCTCAGAGTGCCTATCAGGATGCATTTGACATTAGTAAGAAGGAGATGCAGCCCACACACCCCATCCGTCTGGGTCTGGCCCTCAACTTCTCTGTCTTCTACTATGAAATTCTCAACTCTCCTGAGCAGGCTTGTGGCCTAGCTAAGCAGGTGGGTAAGAAATCCTGAGCTTGACAGCAGTCTTGTGTATGGAGCCTACTTTCAAAGCTTGGGTTACATTGTTAAGCTTAAGTATTGACTAAAGAAAAGCATTTTTTAAACATTGAATCACCATTAAAGTTGTAGTTAAATCCAAGGCTAGGCTTATTAATCCATGTCTGTGAAACCAAGCTAAAGTGTGTAAATCCTAGTTATGGGTTTGCAAGGTGGACTGGCCATAGAGTGGGACCGAAGCATTTTGTTGTCCTTTAACAAAAAATTCTGAATCTGTGCTTGCAGGCTTTTGATGAAGCCATTGCAGAGCTTGACACGCTGAATGAAGACTCATACAAAGACAGCACACTCATCATGCAGCTGCTTAGAGACAACCTCACAGTAAGTTACAAACAGTGTACTGCTGAATGTAAAACAAATTGCCACAATCTTTAAAACTAAAGTAACCAAAAGTGACACCATTAAATATAAATATTAGTGTCTTTTAAAATAGACTGTAGAAAAACTATATTGTCCTATCCATGAACATCACCACCTGCTTTTGGTTTCAGTGCATTATGTGACACAAATTAGCAAAGCTGCTGTAGCAGCGTGTTTGCTCAGTACTCGGTTGCGCACTGTGTTGTTTTGAATAAAACCGCTTTATTGATGATTGTCCTTAGACTGAGCTGTCTGAAGAGCTGCGTTTCATGTACGACGGACCAATTGTTTTCGTACAGTGCGAGTATATAAATCATAGGCTTTATCCACACAATGGTCTGTTCAAACGTACAGTGCGAGTTGTCACTAAAGAACAAGGTTTATAAAATCACACAATGTATGTCTGACTCTAGAGAACATTCAACTACAGCATAACCAGGCAAATATAAGACTCCCAACAAGATGTCAAACTTGACGAGTGAGGACGTGATTCCTGCTGTCACTGAACTACAGAGACTGTTATGGAAAGACAATTGTACAGAAGAGCTTTTCTGATGTGTAACAAAACCCACTCTTCCCCACTGCAACGCTTCTCGATCCAAAGTAACTAACGTAGCATAGCTAGCTAATACACATTATTTAAAATCAGATTTCAGTGGCTTAACTTTTAAGGTAATTTGCACTCATTTACACCGACAGCTGTTTAAATCTTTTATTCATAATGATATTGGAAACAGTTTTGGCAAGTGCTTAAAACCATGTACTCATACTCAATCAGAAAAAAATGGTATTGATGCATCACTAATGTAAATAATAGTGCTGTCAAACAAAATTAGTTGAGTTTAATCACACTTTTGTGTAGTTAATCATGATTAATCACATTTGTTATTTGCCCAGATTTGACATAGATTTTTCCATTTTATGAGTAGACAAAATAAACTTTTTTATCAGAATATATATATATATATATATATATATATATATAGGCTCTTATATATAGGCTCTTGATCTCCTACCGCTACGTTATGTCTTGATTTGAGCGGAACTGGAGCTTTACACTGGTTGGTTGGAAGTTTGTCGAGTCTGCCGAATTACTGATATTGTTGTTCAGCGGTTTTTGCTTGTAATGATACCTCAGACTAAATGTACTTCAGTAATAAACAAAATCAAGGCATGACAGTACCTGAAAATAACTTTACTTATATTAGCATTTGCCATTTACAAGCTGTATTTAAAGAGAAGAATCGGAGTCACAGCAACAGTGTGTAGGGGGAAAAAACATGCGGCACACAATCAGCTGGGCTTTGAATTTGAAAATCATGCTGAAAGAATTTAAGTATTTTTATGCCTCTGAGGGGAAAACTTTTCTCTTTTCAGTTATGGACGTCTGACAACGCAGCAGATGAGGGTGAAGGAGGAGAAGGAGGAGAGAACTAAGACCCTTCATGTTCTCTCCACAGCTAAAAGGAAAAAAAGGAAAAAAAAAACTTTTTACACATCTCCATTCCTTATTGTTTCACTTATGATTATTCTTGCCCTGTAAACCCATGATCATTACCAATGAGCTGTGTGTAAGGAAAATTCCAATCGTCCTGGTTTTCCCCTCCCCTTCCTTCCCCCTCCCCACCTGGCTTGTGGTGGTGATGATCAAAAATATTACGTTAAAGAAACTTCTCCATTCCTTGGTTTTGTGGTTTTGTCCTTTTGGCCTTTATGTGCAGTGTCTGCTGTAGAAAAGTATTAGCCTCACATAATGTCAACAGTCCATAAATCGTGAGAGAACAACTAGTGTATGTCCACTGCAAATCTGGTGAATTAGAAATTTCAGTAACAAGCAAAGACAGCCTCAGGCAAAGCAAGACAGGCTTTCTTCCGTCCTGCTGCATTTCTCTCTTATTGGCCACTTGTGGTCAGCACATATTTGTTAAAGATTAAACCCTTGTGGACCATCTTGGTGTTGGCTTGAACACTCCTTCACTCCAGTACTGTTAAGATGAAAGGCTGCTGTTTTATTAGCTAATCATCTAGACACTGCTCAGTTCACCCCCCCCGTGGTCTCTTTCAGCCAGGGCTTCTTGGAAGTCACAAAATGACGAAACACTCCTTCCTAGTCACAAAACTCACTTTGTGTTACTTTTAAGCATGTCTGAGTCAAAAGGTGCCACTTTATGAAGGCTTGTAATAGACTAAAACAGTCAAATGATTAAGACCATGCATGCCCGTTTTTCAGCGTACACTGGTATGGGAGTCAATCTTGCATACACACTTGCTCCACGGTTTGGTTGAATACTTTCATTGCAGGTTTGTGCACATGTTGAGGATGTTTGATTTGTCCAGTGATGTCGATAGATATTCGGACCACTGTTGTGTTTTTGCTAATCATTGATTGTAGTCCCCAAGAGCCTTGTGAAAATGTTAAAATGCCCTATGTAACAGCTATGTAACCTGAATTAAAATGACCATTTTATAAACCACATATTTTGTGTTTGTAATCTTTCTACATTTGATTGTATTGAGTCAATGTTGAGAAAGCGTTTAAACCCTTTACAAGAAGTTCAGTTCTGACGTAGTATTGAGTTATAGTGCTGTATATTTTTTTCACCTCAAAATTTTTGTAGTACTGTCTTTCAGTGATGTATAACACTTGTGTAGTACCCTGTAGTACAGTACAGTAATTGTCTGAATTTACTGTAAGATAGATATAATAGAAATACTGTACAATTTCCTGTAGTGTTGCTGTAGATCTTTTTCATAACAGAATTTAACTGTAGAACTGGCTACAGCTTTCAGATCCATGAACAAACTACCCCTTACAGAAAAGTCACATGCGTTTTACATATGATTATATGAGAAGTGTCTAAAAACACATGTTCACAAGATCATGTGATGTAAAGTGAATATGTGATGATGTTGCATTATGCCCTGAATTTGCACCTTATTACGTTTTCACTTTTGACTTGGTATAATGTTTTACATTATTACATAAGATGAAGCGGAAATCTATTCTAACATGTTATACCATGAAAGTACTTGTGAAAAGTGTAAATCAATCAACCATGATGTGAGAAAATCACAAATGGGGAAAAAATATGCACCACATATGAGAAGTATAATGGACTATTCCCACAAAGATGTTTTTCCTCTACTGTTTTGGCAGCAGTTTGTCTCAAAGTATTGATGTATTTTCTCAAACTACTGACTGATACTGAAAGCCAGAGATACAAGCTCAAAATATTGAAAAAAATAAGTCATTATTTTGAGTTACTAAGTCAAAAATTAGAAAAAATGTAGGTCAAAATATTGAAAAAAAAAAAGTTATTGTGATGCTAAGTCAAAGAAATGTCATTTTGAAATACTAATTTAAAATACTGAAAAATAAGTCAAGACCTCAACCGTGCAAAAATAAGTTTTTCGTTGTACTGACTAAAATACTGAAAAACAAGTAATTATTTTGAGATACTAAGTCAAAAATTTGGAAAAGCATTTTTGAGAAAAAAAATTTAGATTCTATGTCAACTTTTTTTAAAAACAGGGTTTTGAGATGCTAAGGCATTTTGACATATTAACTCAAAATGTTGAAAAAGTAAGTCGTTATTTCGAGATACTAAGTCAATATTTTGACATACTGCCTCCAAAACCAGAAAAGGCATCAGCAATATTTAGTCCTCTACCTGGCTCTTATAGAAAAGCTTCATGAGGTGTGAAAAATAATGACCACTTAAGGTTAATGTTCGCATAAGGAATATTTCTCATGAGTTACTAGTATCATTCGACCACAGTTTATCCGCTTGTGATATAAAACTACATTTCCACTGGGCACCGAGCGGGAATATCAGAGTGATGGAGGCGAGAAATAAAAATAGCACAGCGCCTCAACGGCCGTGACCAAACTCTCTGGACGAATTTATCCTCTTATGTAACCCACAGGACACATTAAAGTGAGGAGCTGTGTAGAGGTCAGTTCAGTGTCTGTTAACTGCTACTACTATTCCTTTTGGCACGTCAAGTTTAATCGAGCTCCACACTGTGAATAAATGTAGCAAGTTGGCTTCTTATTCGAATTTTCCGTTCCACCTTGAATGGCTGAGGCGCCGGAATGTATCAGCTGCACCATTTAAGGTGGAACGGAGAATTCGAATAAGAAGCTTCAGCTTCAGCCTCGTGTGAAAGTAAGCAGTGCTGTGCTCCGGCCTGTGCACAGCGACTACAAATGGAGATTTTTTTCTGCTTCATAACTCTACAGTACTTCCGGGTGTCTGGCTGGTGTTTGGGTCTTTTCCCACACACTCCTCAGCTCTCTGGTCCTCACCGCTCTCGGAACAGCCGTACGGTGTTTCTTTCACTGTAAATATTAACGTTTCCACCACTTCTGTTCTGTCGGCCATGTCCAGATGTTGGTCCCGGCCACGCTGCTAATCCGTCCGATAATGTTTAGCTGCTGCTGCTGCTCTGCTAAAGCGGGTTACATCGACTCAGATTTACTTTCATCGCCATGAAACGCATCGCTTTACTTCTGCTTTCTTTCCTCCTGACGGAGTGCTCGGAGAGACCTCTGCGGGGATATGGAGAATATGGTGAGTTTGGGACTCTACTGTGCAGCTAGAGAGGAGAAGTTAGGCTAGCATTAAATCAGGAAATTTGTTTGTAAGCCGTAGACCTCCATACATTCAACAGTTCCCATGTGATTATGTGATTTATTCAGGGCTGAATGCTGGACTGATGGGGACGCCAAAACTGGTATGGATTTAAAGGGGAATTCCACATTTTTTTTTTCCAAAATTTCTCCATAATTCAGTCGTTGAGATGTAAACAAAGCCATTTTTGAGTGTAAAACCATATAGAACACATTCTCCATCAATAAGAAGAATCATTTCTTCATGCAAAGAATCATTTAGGCATGAAATGGCTCTATATAGTACACATGGTTCTAAATAGAAACATTTCTTTTACTGAAGAACTATGTTTTTTAAGAGTGTAGAGAAACATGACGTTTGTCATAACCCGTTTGAGTGTGTTGTGTTGATAATGGTAAAATAGTGGTAAATCTGAAAATGTCATTTTTCTTTGGGAACTGTTTTGCCTTATAACTCTCTGCATGTTCCTCTTTGCCATGGGTGTATTAAAAATGTTTAAGGCCAAAAGCTACTACTGTAACTACTGTAAAACAGTGTCTCAGGCATTATGCAGCGTATTCATAACCATTTCATGCAGTAACTTATTAGAAGCCTTAAATTCTTCAGATGTCTGGTTCCTATCACCACCACTGTGAGTAATTTGACTTTGTAATTTTATCTAGAACAAAGCATTTCACATCAAATCACTTTGAATTTTATCTAGAACAAAGCATTTCACATCAAAGCACTCTGAAAGACTTTGTTTACATCTGAACCACTTAATTGTCCAAAAATAAAAAATAAAAAAAAAACAGTGGAATTTCCTGTTAAACACACAGAGGTCTGTCCTCCTGGTTTACAAAGAAATGGGCTTATTATCTTTGGAAAAACTCCATAACATGATGACTACACTATGAACTATGAACACTATCAGAGCTGGAGGTCATTTTTCCCTGCAGTGGACAGCAGGGTTATTCTCACAAACATGACAAATACTGGAACCAAAGCTAAAAAAAAATAAATTATTATTCCAACGTTTTAAAATCTGTATACTGTTGTCAGACTAAGATCATCAAAGCTAATAATTACAAAATATATATTTTTATTTTTATTATATATTTACAAAATTTAGTATTTTGCAATTTTATCTCAATACAACAACACATTGGGAACCATTGAGATAATTCTTTTTATTTGTGCCACATAACATTTTGTAACATGTTACAAGAAAAACATTAAAGAGATTCAACATTTAAAAGTTAAAAGTTTAATTTTTTTCTAACCGATACAGAATCCAGTTCCAGTCGAGCTACTAAATTATATGAATATTGTTCAACTGTGTGATAATAATGACATTAAAATATTCATGGACATGCTTTGAGACTGTTTAATGAGGATGACCCAGCAGCTCAGCTCTCTGTGGAACTTCATCTTCCAACTTTTATTCTCTTAGATCACCTCAGCTCGATGCTGGCAGACTTTGATGTGCTGAACTTGTCCAATCTGCAGCAGCACTCTGTCCGTAAGCGAGATGTGCAGACGCACACACATGCAGAGAGGCTGCTCAGCTTCACTGCCTTACAGAGGTGAGTGTGTGTCACCCACCCATACCTTCAGAATGAGTGTTTAAGTGGAGTTAATGTGGTAAACACAATAGAAAGATCCAGGTAAACTGTGATACACAGTATTAATGGTGTGAACTACGTAACTGACCACAGTTAATGAAGTTAAGAATTACTAGGATAATGTTGTCCCTGTCATATCAAAACCTCTTTTTTAAAAGTTATTTTTATTTCTTAATTTGTTTGTTTTGTCTTTCACACTGTATGAACATTTTATTATGATTTCATGGTGACCAACAGAAATAGTTCAAATGACTTTGAAGGAAATCTTATTTCATTACAATTAAAACAATTAAATAACGTTTTTCTTGGGATGCAAGATAATATCGGAATCATATCAGTGTCGTCAGATAATTGATCACAAAATTGCAGGCATCGAATGGATGTCTAAATTTGATTGATATGTCAAACTGATATTTCGATGATGATTATTATATGATATTTATTGTGCTCCAAAAAAGCAGAATGTTTAGGTGACATTCAAGTACTGCACTTAAATATCTGGATTTTATTCACTTTTTATTTACTGTATCTGTAACTGTACAGAAGTGGGTGTTATTTGTCTGTAATGTTAATCCAAGTAAATATAGTCCCGATTTCTACATTTAATAAATGTTTATTGGTAGAAAACATGAACAATTTTAGATATTGGCACCCTAAATGTTCTGCTCTTCCAGAATATGAAAATTGTGTTGTCGAATATTGGTTTAAAGTATCGGCCAGATCTTAAATCTTTCGGATGCTGATTTTATAAAATATTAAATATCAGCCAATACTCAAATGTTTCTAATATTATCATGCATCCCTACTGCCTTGGCAAAGTGCCATTGCAAGTAAATCACTAATGGCTGGTTTCCCAGATCCACAAGAAGCCTAAGCCTAGACTAAATACAGTTTTGAGTGGTGAATCACCATTGGCATTGCAGTCCATTCCAAGACTAGGCTTAAACTATGTCTGATAAGCTGGCCCTGTTGAACTCCTGCAGCATTTGTTATGCCATATTTCCCATTGGGGATCTATTAATTTTCAGTCAGTCTGTTTGTCTGCTTGTCTGTCTGTCTATTGATCTATCTGTCATCTGTCTTTGTTGTTTTTCAGGCACTTCAGGCTGTACCTGGCGACCAACACCGAACTTTTCACAGACGACTTCAGTGCTGTGGTGGTGGGGCAAGACGGCACACAGGAGGCTTATGAGGTCCACAGAGAGAACTTCTTCACCGGCCATGTCATTGGTAGGGTTGCAGTAAAATCTTCTAACTGTTTGTTATAAATGCTAGAATCAATTATAAGCTTCATGTGTTTGTTTTGTGCTACTCTAACATAAGAATGTAGCTGTCAGTTTTATGTGTTTGGAAGCATCAGTGTTGTATATATGAAGGACTTGAAAATGAGTAGTACATATTAAAATATTTGTATTGTCCTTCACATACTGCTCAGTATTCTTATAATGCACATGCATTAATGACTAAATAAGCATAATATTAGGGTAGTCACATGCGTTACATATTTTTTTATTTATAAGCTTGTAATTAATATATTAATATATGTATTATAAATAAGAATTATCAAAGTTACTTACAATATTTATACAAATAATTAAACAACTTATTTAAGTTTAACAACAAACAAGTGGCAAGTACAAGGGAAAAACTAAATAAAGTCTTTGTAAGGGCTGCTGGAGCAGTGTCTTAGTAAAAGCTGCAAGACCAACTTTAGTATACCTCGGCATAGATAAGTCTCTGGAGCTGCACTGAAGGGATGGAATAGCTTTCTTTCAAAAGTTTTTTGATTATGGTGGTGGAGATTGCTGTCTGCAACATGTTAGTCCAAAATCTCTCTTTGGCATTCAATTGGTTGGAGATCTGGTGTCAGCAAAGGCCAGAGCATATGATTTGCATCATTTACATACTCATTAAACCATTCAGTGACCCTTCGTACCTTGTAGATGGGGGCATTGTTATCCTGGAAGAGACCACTCTCGTCAGGATTAAGATGACTGAGATGTCACTGATTTACAGTGACCTTTCCCTCTAAGGGGACGAGTGAACCCACACATGCACTTGCCCACTTGTGGAGAATATGGTGAATGATGACTCATCTGACCATTTCACTTTTTTCACAGTTCTGTAGGCCAGTGACTGTGGTTTTATCACCACTGAACACTCAAATGTGCTTTTGGCTTATAATATCCTTCTCTGTGTAGTTATGGATGGACTGTTCTTGCTGACTCAGTCTGATCACATCCTGCTTTGACAATCTCGGTCACATGAGGAACAGCTGCTTTTCTGTTTTTCCTTACATATCATACGTCACGATTGTGTACTTTTAACATTTACTGATATCTTTCCCATAGATCTAAATAAAGGGATCACTTTAGTCCCTGTTTCCTATTAAAACACTAGCCAGTTGAGCAGGCTTTGTGACTTTAGTCATCAGCGCCACAATACTGATTCCTTTTGCCATCTTGATTTTGGTCAACTGGGCCTACTGAACATTTTCATTCATGCCAAAGAGCATGGTAGGATGTTAATTGCATACCTGTTTCATGTAGTATGCCTTTCTGGAAGCATCTGCATTTATTGGCCCTTATTCATCAAAGCTACGTTAAACAGGGCACAGGTTTGACCGCTTTAAATGACGTACAAACTACTCAGGTCTGATTCATGAAACTTTCGTACAATGTGAAAAGGAGCTGAGATTTGAACTAATAAATCATCTTCAGTGCATGAAATCAAGTGCCAGCCTACTATCACATCATTTACATATAATTTACAGGAAGCATGCCCTAATTCATGCAGATGTTTCATGAGGAAGCCAATAAAACAACAGCATTTATCAGCTTGTGAGCCAATGGCTGTGCTCGTAGACAGAGTTTGAGGTTGAGCAGTAAGTGCCCTGCTCCTCCTTTTTAAATGTGACATTAAAAAGTCTTAATATTTTAACACAGAAGAATGACGTAATTGTGAAGTGTGATTATTTTTTCTAAAATAAACGCTTATTATTGCATTGCATCATATTAGAGGCTTCCGCACTAGCTGTGTTTTTTTTATTTTTTGGGCGCTGGCAGTAATATAAAATAAAAGCACAGTGTAATTAAATGTAACATGGAATAGATGCATCATTTTTTTATACCAGTGTACATGTAAAATACGTACATCCACTTTTGTACTGGACAAGTGCACAAATTATTATTGTTATTTTCTGTTTTTATTCTTATTATTGACAGAATAGATTATTTTGAGAGTAGTTTTGGCTAAAAATCAAACTTTTTTCAGGTTGTTGAAAGTTTATGCTCAAATTTACACACACACTCCCACCAGAAGTGAGTATGGTCATACATATACGCTGAATATGAAATTGATGAATAACAAATTTGCATGTGCTCTTTTTATGGTCAGATTTGATTATACACAACTTTATTATATCTCTATATTCTTTTATTCAGGTTCTTTTATCACCCATCTTTATATTTTGGCCAGTGCTTAGTTAAAAAAAACTGAATTGTAAAGATACATCGCTGATTGCGTGCAGTAGGCCTATATTAGACCCTCAGATACTGACAAAACACCTTGCACTTGCAGGGGAAGAGAACTCTCGCGTGCAGGCTCACATTGATGACAATGACTTCACTGCCCACATCCTGACTGATGAAGCTGAGTACAATATAGAGGTAAGTAACACATTTCTATTTATTTTCTGTTGCACTGCAGCACAGCAGTGCCATTAGTCAGGCAAGTGTCTTCTTTGATATAGTAATTTGTAAATAGTAATTTAACAGTTTTCCAAACTATTGTCCATCTTCCTCTCAAATTCAAAATAAAAGAGTTATGTTGAGATGCAGTAAGTAAAACTTACCATTCACCCGCCAGTTCACACAGTCCGTATATGGAAATAGCTGAAAAAACAGCCTGTACTGATTACACTGTTTTTGTGAGGTTGTGAACCAATGCATTTTCATACATCCATCATTGGGCCTACAGCAGTTTAGCCCATTCATGCTGAAGTCATAAGTAGTGTTTCAGCCTGGATTGTGTTTTGAACAAGGCACAATACAGGGCAGCCAATCAGAAAAGAGCTCCTTTACATATATCAATCTTAAAGACACAGAAACAAAAACAGCTTGCTTAGTTCTAAGAGAGAAAGAGTGATTTAAAAAAATTGTCATGTAAAAAGAAATTATAAGTATTTTTGGTACAAAAAACAGACATACATTAAAAGTGAACTTGGGGAGGGGGAGGGGTTTCTTCTAAAACGCTGACGTTCTGACATAGAATTGATTAGAATCTGAGTGAAGAATGAACGTGCTGATGCTGAGACATTGTCTGTTATATTTTAAATTGATGTTATGGATGTCTTGTCTGCTCTGTGTGTTTCTAGCCTCTGTGGAGGTTCACTGAGGGTTCGCCAGATGACCGTTTGCTGGTGTACCGCTCAGAGGACATCAGGAATGTGAGTCGGCTTTCCGCTCCTAAAGTGTGTGGTTATGTCAGTGCTGAGGCGACTCAGCTCCTGCCTGACGGCGTGCGTACGGCCACAGCAGAGGAGGAACACGAGGAAGAAGAGGGTGAGTGATTATGTTATATGAGTTATGTTTATACAGTTTCTCCCGATTCAGATGTAGTTCTTTAGTTTTGCACTGGAGCTACGAGGCAGATGTAGCTATCATGTGCGCATCTCCCTGTTACTAAGCAACAGTAGCATCTGAGCTGTCAATCAGGTGTGCTAGCTAGTTGTTTCGATATTTCTATATATACGTATCGCTTCGATATGTATAGGCAAAAAGTCCTGTCACCTGCCTTTTAGGAAGTGATCTACTATGAGTGTAGCGCTGCTTATAAAATAAAGCTAAACTAAAAAAAAGTTTTACATTATGCTAATTTTTGCTGATTTAGTCAGGACAACTTCTGATGCGAATCACTCTATCAACAACTTTCACTTCAGATTTTGTTAGAGCAGTAAAACAGTGACATAAGCCAGTTATTGTAAAGGGTGAAGGCAAGCCCATGTCACTGGATGCCAAACACAAAATCAACACCAGCAAGATGCCACCATGGCTCCCTCAGGATAGCAAAATGTCAACTTGCACATGTACTGTTTCCTGAATGTGTACTGTACACATTCTAGGTTTAAAACCCACTCCAGGCAGCCAAATTCACCTTACTTGTTTCCAGAAACATTCCAATTTCACAACCAAATGAAATAAAACTCTCACTTACTTTCTTTAGAGTCATTAAGGCATAGCTATCCCGCTGAACTGGCTATGCAGGCTGTGCTCAACACAAATTACTGTGTGCAGCCATATTACTACTACTCCCTGAGCCAGCAGCTGCCATATATAATGAAGTAATAGACCTACCGTAAACCTACTGTAACCCTAACAACAGGGCCTATTACATATGCAAAATCCATTTGCAGTAGTTATATTTGGCTTTGGACCTCCCTGCCCTTCCATGCGCACACATGAAAAGCCCAAAGCAGGGAGACCAGCAGAAAAACACCCAAAATGACCAGCCAACAGGAGACCTCTGTCCAGCAGGAGATTGCAGAGAAAGCGTGAATGGGAAGGCTAATGCAGCTTAAATAAGCTGGTAGGGTTAAAGCTAGCATATGCTTTCTCCAAGTCATATGAAGCCAGCCACTGCATCTTTTCAAATTCCCGCAAATGCAACATCAAAGACAGCTCAGCATGCTTGGAGGAGAACGCTAACAGCCAAATCTGTTATATCAGCCAAAAGACAGCTGCACTTGTAAATCATTTGTAAATTTTTTTAACTGTTTGAAAAAAATAATTGTTGTGTGCATATTTATAAGTGTGCAAGCTGCTTTTTTCTGGCTTTCTTCTGTATTTGTCATATGTCTGATGCTCCTGAAACAGCAGTCTTTCTGCTCAAATTTGGCTGGTTCAAGCTTCACACCCGTTATTCAGCACTCAGTTCTGTGTGCACAGTGGGTTCCCCTCTTCACCGCAGTGCTTCATTATTCATGGAGGCATAATTAGTGCAGACTGTAATGGCACAGGGAACTAATGGTGTGTCCATACGGTGGGGGTTGCACAGGGGGAGTGTGAGTTTAGAAGAGGGTTGTGTTTACTGTTCTTCAGCGCTGATGAGCTGATGCACTTCCATCATGCGCTCCACAGCGGGAGAGTAACAGGAATGTTGCAATTTGGGAGCAAGATATTTAATGATCTTGGATTTTTCAAATGTGTTTAATGATCAAATCAGCCTAATTGCAAGAAAATAATGGAATATACATTTCAAATGAAGTTTTTCAGAGAAACAGAAGGACCACCCAGCCTTGTGGCCTGTGCTAGCGGATCCTGTGTTATTGCTTCATTCACGAAGCTAGTGTAATGTAGGAAGCCGGAGGCAGTAGACTGTAAACACAAAGGTCTTGTTTATTAGACGAGATTTGTAAATTGTTGTCCAAGGCAGAGGCTAAAGCAGTCAATCTCCTCATAGGTAGGTCCACGGCTAGGATTCAAATAAGCAGGCTAAAATCAGAACCAGAGGACACAAGCTGTAGAAAAACACAAAAGCAGAAATGTGGGAGTAGGAACATGTGGAGCATAAACTACGAGCAAGCATCACATAAAACTCACCTAAGAGAATACGGTTCAGAATAAAAGGAACTACCAGTACTTCACAAAAAGGATAACCATAAAGGATAATCTGAGGGCTATATCTACACAGGTATGGCTAAAAAGTACAGGTGCAAACAATGTATGTAAACAAGAAGGTCACGTGTAACAAAGGTAACCAAGCAGGACACAGGTGATAAAGGTAACTAGTGACAATTGAGCAGTGCCAGAGGAGAGACAAGTTGGTTCCAGGGTGGAGTGGAATCAGGACAGAGCCAGAAAGAGGGGGGGGCCTGAGTGAGGCGGAGACAGAATGAGGTGATGCAGCATTTCTTGTTTTTACCCTTACCCCTTCTTTTCGAGTTTCACCTTGCCCCTTGGAACAGGGGTTACAAGGGGTAGTGGTTAAAATCTTCCTCTATGAAATGGGACAACCCTCAAATAAAAAGAACATTGCTTCATTAACAGTTTACTAGTGGTGCTCTGTAGGCAACATTCCCAGTCTACAGTGATAGCAGAGCAGTGGTAAAGTTCAGCAACCTCACTGCTGATCTTTAGTTTAAATTAGGACACCATGTCTTCAAAGAGGGGGGATGTAACAATTATTTATTATCACCCACCCCTGATTCTTCAGTGGTTTGAAGCTGAAGTTCGCCAGCTTCTCTTTTGAGTTAGTTAGTTAGTAAGTAAATAGCTGGCTAGCTACCGAGCATCCATCAGCATACTACTAGTGTTTTTTAATGCTTATTATGAAGAAAAGAACCATAATACAGGAGGGGTGCGAAATTTCATCACAAGTAGGAGGAGTGAAGGACTGGTATTTATAGGAAGCTGAAATTGGGAAGGAGGAGTTTAGGCGTGGTCTTTTCCTCAAACTTCAGTTATGTCATAACTCCATTTTGCGAAAGCTGTGCCAGAGGTTCACATGGGCTCGGATAAGAGTTAATTTTAAATAAGTACAAAGGAATGCTTTTACCAAATTGGTTTGTTTTGCTGTGTTTGATATTGTAGATCATGGTATCTGAGTTTAACATGGTTAAGTCTGATAGGCAGGGATGTAGAGCAGGGTTGAAAGCTTCTGTTTGAGCTGTATATTTTGAACATCTCAGGAATCCGAAGAAAGCGAGGAGAAACAGGGCTTCTAATGTAGTGGATAGTTGTTTGGGGAAGAGATCAGCGCGGAGTATCTGAATGCAGTGGTGGAGGATGTCAGAGGTTAAGGGCAGCTGACGTGGTGGAAGGCAAGGTTTGTTTCTTTGGATTCCTTTTAGTAAAAGTATAATCTGAGGGTAGCTGTTGTGTGTTGGGTTCCGTTGATAAGCTTCATAAAGAAATTGATCCCGGCTAAATAGACTCTTAAGGTGGAGGAGCAAATGGCTAAATATGAACTGGCAAATGTGAGGTAAGCAGCTGTCGTTGACAGATTGTCTGAAGGGAACGGAATGCTGTGGAGTGCGTGGAAGCGCTGGAAAGATTTCCATCCGGACCAATAGGTCGACAGGGTACGAGGGGCAGCCGCGCTTAAGATTATTTCTTGAGCTTGGAGGAGCTAAGCAAACGCCGCCCAAGGCTGTCGCGTGAACTGGAAGTTGTAAAGATAGGGGCGGGGGCTGCCGTAGGGGCTGCGGGTACGGAAGGGCGGGGAGCGGGAGGAGGCGGAGCAACAAGATTGCAGGAGGAAGCAGGGTGAGACGGGCAACCGCAGAGCTCACAGGAGAGAGCAGTCCGACCAGCAAAAACACGACAGTAGAGCTCAAGATCCAGGTAGCCCCAGTACGTAGACATGTTCCACTGCTGAAGACGGGCAGATGCACGGGCCGAGAACAGACGATGGTAATCGTAGAAACCTGAGAAAGATAGTCATCCAGCTCCTGACGCCACGATGGGAAGGCTGAACAGAGGACATCACGGTAGATGGAAAAGGCGAGTGCGAACTCAGGAGCAGTGAGGACCTTAGAGGTGCGAGGATCGGCACACTTAAGGATAAGAGAAACGTCGCTGGCGTCAATGGTACGGGGAGCACACGAGGCAGCGGAGGGGGGAAGTAATGAGGGGAGACTGATGTCCGCACCTTGGAGGATCCGCGTACACAGGGTAGAAGAGACAAGAGGTGGATTGAAGAGGCGGGCATCGCTGGGTGGGACAGCAGGAGGAGCGGTGTAGAGTTAAAATGAGGAGTCGGCGAGGAGGGGCCGAGGCTGGGCTGGCAGTGGCTGCGACTGGAGACCTGGAATGGGATGAGAAAACGAGGCAGAAGGGCAAGCAGTGAACTTCATGAAAGACGGAGGAAATGGGTACGAAGAAAAGGGGAGGGGCTGGGATGATGAGGGAACAGGGAGGGATGATGAAGGGAAGGGGAGGGATGATAAAGGGAGGGGATGGGATGATAAAGGGAGGGGTTGGGATGATAAAGGGAGGGGTTGGGATGATGAAGGAGGAAGCTGAGAAGAAGAAGGAAGAGACATAGCCAAAGGTGGGGCAGAAAAAGAGACGAGGAGCCGGAGGAAGCCGAGGCAGCAGGCGTGTTAGGAACCGCGATGACGGGTGCAGGATGCGCAGATCCTTCGGAGGAAAGATGCTGGCTTTCTCCAAAGAGGTCATCATCGGAAGCGACAATGTCGAGGTCCATGACGACGAGATGATAGCAGGTAGCAGCACGAAGCCGGGTCGGTGCGAAATTTCGTCACGAGTAGGAGGAGTGAAGGACTGGTATTTATAGGAAGCTGAAAGTGGGAAGGAGGAGTTTAGGCGTGGTCTTTTCCTCAAACTGCAGTTATGTCATAACTCCATTAAAGTGCTGACTATGATCGCACCTATTAACTTTCTCCCTCACTATCCTTTCCACAGAGCACCTGAGAGGAAAGAGGCAGGCAGTAGACCACAGTAAGAACACCTGCCCGCTGCTGCTGGTGGCTGACTATCGCTTCTTCAGACACATGGGCCGCAGAGAGGAGAGCACCACCATAAACTACCTGGTGAGGAAGGAGTTTTCTCTATTATTTTTTGGCCAGCAGGCATAAAATGGATCATAGAAACCAGCTTTTATGTCTATCCTAGACTAAAAGCACCATTGTCTTATAACAGTATCTTTCTCGGTTGTGAATTTTGCAGATTGAGCTGATTGACCGAGTGGATGACATTTACAGAAACACGTCTTGGGATGAGGAATTTAAGGGATATGGTGTTCAGATCCAGCAGGTGTGTGTGTGTTAATGTGTTGGTGTGTGAAGATCAGTTGTACTCCAGACAAAAGCAGTTTTTCTGTATAGCATAATCTGAAATTGTGGGTATTGTCTTTTGCTTTGTGATGGAATTTAACTTGTTCATTTTGACTTCCTCAGATTATTATTAACAAAATCCCCACGAAAGTGGATCCAGGAAAGGCCCACTTCAACATGAAGGGGAGTCCAGTGAAAAACAAAGATGTGTGGGATGTGAAAAAACTGCTGGAGGTGAGATTGAGTTGTCAGAATGAAGTAACGTACACTATATGTCCAAAAGCATCCAGACAACTCTTCTAATTAGTAAATGTCCCTAGAAAAGCACTGGCAATAGAATGGCACACTTAGGAGGTCACCATGTTCAATGATGCTTAGTGGCATTAGTGATTCACATCTAATCATCCAGCATCAGTACCTGACCTCACCAATGCTCTTGTGACTGAATGCAATTAAATCTATACAGCAATATTCCAACATTTAGTGTAAAGCCTTCCCAGTAGAGGAGAGGGCTGTTACTGTAGCAAAGTGGACACAAACTCCCTATTAATACCCTTGATTTCAGGATAAATATTGAATGAGTGGGTGTCTACAAACTTTTGAGCATAATAGTGTAAAAAATGTGTAAATATAAAATATGCATTAAACATATAATGTCTTTGTTAGTGTTTATTTTTCCAAATAAAGTTTATTAGGACTAGAAAAAAATAAGGTGAACTTTAGAAATGAATACTTTTCAGGACTGTAACCAATTTTTTTTTGTTTTTTTATTTTTGCAGCAATTCAGCATTGACATTGCTGCCAATGCCTCCAAAGTGTGTCTGGCTCATCTGTTTACCTATCAGGACTTTGATGAGGGCACTCTGGGACTTGCATATGTTGCTCCAGCTAAAGATGGAGCCCCTGGGGGCCTCTGCTCTAAGGGTGTGTAGTTTCCTTGGAGTTTCTTTGCCATATTCTAAAGGTATACAGATCTCTTTAGAAAAGGTCTCTGAGAAAACTACTGAAATAAAATACTTTGTGTATTTTTTTCATGAAAAAACCTTGTAATTCGTCATCTAAACAGCCCTGCTACAGTGATACTCATTTGTCTATGAAGTTTGCCACACTACGTTAGCTTCAAGCTAGTGGTGATTTATGTTCATATTTGATGGCAGATCTAGTTAACATAGTCATTTCAAGCTTGTAACTTGCTTTCTGTTTTGTATGGCAACCCTAGTCAGATGTCCATAGGTGTCACAAAGACACAGATGTACATCTTTAGACGTAGAAGCATTTTTTAGGTTAAATGAGGTAAGTAATTCTGCTGGACTTGCCAGCTAGTTATTGTTAACATACAAGGCTACTGCGTTAGTGTTTTTAAATCCAGGAGAGAGCTACAGTCTGTGGTAGATAACAAGCAGTCTGTGTCTTACAGTATCACAGGTAGCCTGCTTAGTTTAATTCAGTTTTAAACATCTTTGAGAGTCTTGGACATCAGAACAGTGGAGCTGGCTAGGTCTGCTAGAGTAAAGGAACATGGAATATTCTGACTGTATATGGACTGCATTTCCCATGAATCTGTGTGAGGGATGTAAAAGCATGCCAGAAAAAATGGATTCAAATCAAAGTCTTTGTATAAGATCCTCTCCATGTAAGCCAGGGGCTGCAGGCTTTCATTCCAACAAAGCAGGATCTCACATGATCATTTTAAGACTGACCAGTTGATTAAACAAGTAGAATCAGGTGTGCTCCTGCTTGTTTGCAATGAAAACCTGCAGCCACATCAGCCCTTTGCTGATAAGATTGGTGACCCCTGGTTTAAGCCATAGTTGTTCAAAAAACAATGTGATTTAAAAAAATACAGTGGGGTCCAAAAGTCTGAGACCACATTGAAAATCTGGATTTTTCTTTTTCCATTTAAACCTGGAAATAAAAAAAAATAATAGAATTTTGAAAAAAAATTAACCCCGGAAATTTTATGACAAGTAAAATGATGAAAAAATGTTCAAGATTCTGTGCTAATTCAAATTTCAGCAGATCTGTGACATGTTAAGGCCTTTAACAAAAAGGTCAGATTAAAAAAAAAAATCTTATGTGTTCCTTTGGAGCTTGTGTTCAGATGACTTTCAGGTGGATTTGATCTTCTCAGCAGAGCCTTTTGTCAGTGTTAGTAATTTAAGTCCGTGCCTTGAGTGCACAGTGTCATTAAAGCGAAAGGGGGGACAAACACTAAGAAATTCTGAAATTCATGTAAATATTTCAAAGATCCAGTGATTCACTCAGATTACTATGCTGATAATAGAATTTGTAATGAAAAACATTGTATTAAATCAGAGAAGAATTTAAAATAGAACCCTTTTCATTAGCGGTCTTAGACATTAGGAAACCACTGTATATACACTGTAGATCAAATTTAACAACCAAAACACAACACAATGTTAAAAAGCAAAGATGTTTTGAGAGCAAATTATTTGGGACAGTTCATCCCCCGCCGAAACATTAAAGAGGATACACTGCCCCCCTCCCCGGCCCCCAAATCTATGGACAGAATAAATTTCCATTACAGAAAATATGGATCATAAGACACTTAAAGAGAGCTACAGAACAATTATATATATTACAAAAATGTCTTGGTGTTGTGTATACAGTTGTCTACAGTTATTAGCCTTATAAAGTGCAATTTTACAGAATCCCACTCGTGTCACATCCTTTTCAGAGCCCTCATCATATAATGGCTTAATTGTGTACACAATATTCAGACATTTCATCATTCAGAGATTTCCTAACTGGCTCCCTTTGCTAACTCAGGTCAGTAATGGAAAGCTTCACTACCGTTGCCAAAACACACTCGCGCCTTCGTTTATTCTTGACGTCATCTTTGTTTACAAACTTTGAAAGGCTCTTTATAGACATTAAAAACAAAGCTCAGTTAGAATTGATCTAAGCAAAATCCATGCATCATGATTCACCACTGTTTTCTGCGCTAATGTAATGCCACTGTTTTGCTTGTTTGTTTTTAAAGAGTGCCCTCAGTCATCAAGTGACCATCAGGCCATTTACTTGAACACAGGCTTAACCAGCACTAAGAATTATGGGAAAACTATTCTGACTAAGGTGAGCTAATGCATCAGGTGTTTATGCAATCCAAATAACCTCACTGATTAGATAACATTAATAAAAATCAGCCCTGTTCTTACCTCAAACAGGAAGCCGATTTAGTAACCACTCATGAGCTCGGACATAACTTTGGGGCTGTACATGATCCAGATGACGTTCCTTACTGCGCCCCCAGTGAGGACCAGGGGGGCAAATATGTCATGTACCCCATTGCTGTGAGTGGAGACCACACCAATAACAAGGTACAGCTTTCCCTAATTTACAGTTCAGTCATTGTAGTATTGATAAGGATGGTTTTTAAACATGTCTTCATGATTGCATTTAAACATATCACCATCATCATTTGATAGTCATTAAATTGTCTTATAAGTCACCATCAAGAAGTGGTTTATTTCCTGAGTCCTATCTTTCTTTGTTTCCAGCTATTTTCCAACTGCAGTAAGATCTCCATAGTGAAAAGGCTGAGGCACAAGGGCCCGTCCTGTTTTAAGGAGAGGAACAGTAAGGTGTGTGGAAATTCGCGGGTGGAGGAGGGCGAGGAGTGTGATCCCGGTCTGCTCCACCTCAGCACTGACCCGTGCTGCATGGCCAACTGCAAGCTGCGACCAGACAAGCAGTGCAGGTAGAGCGCCCTCATGTGGCTGCACCACAAAACACGAGCTGAACAGCAGAGCTCTGTGATTTCTGTATGGGGCAACTATCTTATTTTTTATTGTAACCTTTAATGTTATACAGTATGAAAAATGTCAATTCTTATATTAATAATTAGACTCTAATAGTGACTTGGATAGAAAGATGGATGGATAGAAAGATAGATAAGACAAATGGATCAATTCATTGATCCCTGAAGCGAGATTTGGGTGCTATGGTCACTAGTATAACACCATGTAAACTAGCATTATACACAGTAGCACTGTATACACTAGCGTTAAAAAGTTTGGAGTCATATAAACCTAGTAATGGTGGCAGATAAGTGTATAACATGATTCTAATATAATAGTCTGTGGAACTTCAAAAATGTATATAATTACAAAGAAACATGAAATTGTAATGGCAAACAGGATTAAGTAATCATGGCGTTTTGTTTTTTTAGCATTTTACATACTGTCCGAACTTTTTTGGAACTAGTTGTAAATAACTGAATATAGTATCTACAAGTATCGCTTGTTGCCTGTTTTTGGGTATTTAAATCTGCATGGTGTAAATTATTATCGTATGTAAAATAACTAAGTATTAATGTGACAAATTGTTCCAAATCTTTGACTGCTAGGGTGCATTGCAACAATTAGACATGTAATTTAATATATTATACATATACACAGTGCAAAGTTAATAGTGCAAACTCAGGACATAAAGTGCAGAAGATGTTATCAGTATTGTAGCTGGTTTATCTAATTAAGTACACAAATCTTCCTTGTATGTTTACATTATGTGTTCTTGCCTCTCTTGTCTCTGTTTGGACTGCAGTGACAGGAACAGTGCCTGCTGCAAAAACTGCATGTATGAGAAGGAGGGGAAGCAGTGCCAGGAGCAGATCAACGCTACCTGTAAAGGCGTGTCCCACTGCACAGGTGAAACTGAATTACAAATTCGTAATTATGAACTGAGTATTTAGAAAGTTGTTGTTATTGCAGTGAATTGGTCGTGCACTTAAATCAGTAGAACAGAACAACACCCCTAAGCCACTGTGAACTTTTGTCTTTACTGTGTTCCTCAAATGAACAACTGTAAATACAGTGTTGTTTGTAAAGGTGTAATTTTTTTCATGTGCAGTAAAATGTTTTCATTTTATATCTCCTTTGTCAATCCATTTGTCCTATCTTGACAGGTAAAAGCAGTGAATGCCCTCCTCCAGAGAGCCTTCCTGATAAGACCACCTGTGTGGACAGTGGCCAGTGTCTGAACGGAGAGTGCATACCATTCTGCGAGGCTTTTCTGGGCCTGCAGTCGTGTGCTTGCAATGGTTTGTTTTACTTTTATATATGTTTTGCGTTGAGCTCACTCGGTAGGCACATAAAAAGTTTGGAATCACAATTAAAAAGTTTGGAGTCAACGTTTTAAGTAAAAAATAAAAATGTTGCAAGTACAACAAGATTCTGTTGCGATTCTACAACTTTACAATTTGACAGATTTCATTTAATATGTAGGAAGCTGTAAACAAGTAAGAAATTTTAGATGTATCCAGAATGATAAACAGAGCCGTAGATGATTTTAGAGTGATTTAGGAAGCTGTATGACATAGAGAATGAAGTTATACAAAAATTAACATCCAAAATGTCTTGTATTTGAAAAGTGGTCAAACTTGAGGCAGATCGCATTTTAAGAAATTACAGTGACTAGATAATAAACTATAGGTTTCACCAAAATTTAGGCCACTAAAAATTTTCTGCAGAAAATACTGAAAGAAGGCACTTTTGTTTTTGGAGAAAGAAAAAAGGCTGAATTTTTTGCTGGGGTAAATAACTAAAGAGACAACGTGTCAGAATCTAAAACTTTACAAGTCATTTTAATCAAGATGAAAAATAGTGATTAAAAACACTTTACGTCTTTTGCTCTCTTGCGCTTATCAACACAGATGCGTTCAAACACTTTGTGCTGTGAAATACTGAATAAAATATCCTGAAATGCACTCTGGTGTCTAGATTGTAGTGTTTCAATCTACACTGTTATTATGAAATAAAATAACAGCAATTATTAACAAGAAAGGTGAACAGTAACAGTAACAGAAACTTATGAACAGTATTGTACTTTTTACAGACCTAAAGAACTAAATGACATATTTGCAAATGGAAAGCTTTTTATTTTTGAGGAAACTTTAAATGTGTAATCTACAGGTCAATTGTAATAAAGTAAGAAATTACTTTTGAAGGTAAAAAAAGTATTTTATTTAAGTCTATTTGCCAACAAACGTTTAAGTACTTTGTTGACATCTAGTTTAATCAAAGAAGTACGTGTTTGGTATGTTTACTGGGCTTGACAACATGATAATAGTGCTTAGTGATGTCACTTTATGTCATGACATTCATTAAATACTGTCTCCATGCCATAGAGACAAATAACTCGTGTAAAGTGTGCTGCCGCAATGGGACGGGTGCATGCTCTCCGCACCAGGACAAGGGGGGTAACTTCCTCTACCTGCGCAAAGGCAAACCCTGCACAGTGGGCTTCTGTGATGGAAGCGTGAGTTCCTAAAATCACCTCACACAAAGACAGCTACTTCAGAGAGAGCCTTTCTGTTTGTCATTTCCACTTTCTTCAGAGAGCTGAATTTAACCCATAGAAGCCTATAACTGAGATATTATTGTGATTTTGCTATGTTTTAAATTAGAGAGGGCATATTGGTTGCAGTGGATATCTGTATTAGGCCAATAGATTGGATATTGGACTGAAAAATGAATGAATTCAATCCAATGCTGTAACAAATCTAGCCTGAAATAGCACACACTCACATTGTGTGATGTCATGTTGTTAGCTATGTATTTCTTCCTGTGGGGTAGTAGAGTGTTTGAGTAGTTTGAGCATAATAGCCTAGTTTTAGACACTCATCTAAAGCGCTTGAGTTAGAAACAGCTCATTTTAAAGTTTTAGAAGAAATATCTATATGGTTCTTGTTATTGGGCAGTACTTAAGATCTGAATATGTGTATTGGTGTCAAAAAATGAAAATTTCAGAAATATGCCTACTTTTAATTTTCCTTACATGTACACATACATAATTACATATATGTAGTTACATAATTTATTACATTTGATTTACTTTTCTTATTAGCAAGTTTGAGTTGCTTTTTCTGTGTATTTAGGGTCAGAAATATGGCATAAATATAAATGTTTTTTTTTTCTTTTTTGGGTTATCAGTTATTTTGTTTTTTGTTTTGTTTTGTACATCCTGTTATGTTAAAAAGCCTTTATTTTAAATACAGAGCATGAAACAATGCCATACCATGCGTATATGTTTTTACGAAAAAGTCATGTATCCTGTTTTTCGTTGCAGGGGCTCAATTATCCTACAGAATTTTGGTATAGGTGTAGCAGAAGCATTTAAATACAGCACGAGTGCACCTACCTGACTCACATTATAACATCACAAAATTGTAAACAGATAACCATAATCAAAATTTGCAGATTGCCAGTCATGTGTTTGGAACCTGAATATGCCGATTCCGATCATGCACCCCTATTCATTACCATTCTGCTTGCAGGGTAAATGCATGAAGCAGGTGCAGGATGTCATTGAGAGGTTGTGGGATTTCATTGACAAGTTGAACATCAACACTTTCGGTGAGTGCTTTCTGCACCACTGTTACCCTCATTGAGTTAAAGCAGGCAGGGGAGAGCAGAAGTGTGAGGACTTTTCTCTTTCCTCAGGAAAGTTCCTGGCTGATAACATAGTGGGCTCAGTGGTGGCCTTCTCATTGCTCTTCTGGATCCCTCTCAGTATTCTAGTGCACTGTGTGGTAGGTCTCATACATATCTCTCATTTTCCTTACTGTGTGTTCAGCACAGATCTAATTACTAATATTTACAACACTTGTATTTTATTTGCCTCTATCATCTATAGGATAAGAAGCTCGACCAGCAGTATGAATTAAACACCAGATCACTCTTTTACCCCAGTGTAAGTATTAGTCAGGATAACACTGTGGACACTGTAATGCTGTTTATGCACTGCACAGTTATATATTTTCCCTGCTCTAACACACTTCAACAGTACTGATGTTATGTCGTATTGTGTAGCACAGCAATGCACCCCTCAGCCTCATCAGTTTGACAGAATTCACAAATTTGTATGCATTTGTGATTTTGTCCATCATTGTTCTCTCATTCCAATACCCAGCATGAATTACGTAGATACGTTGTACAACCATTGTGAATCACCCAGGCTGCAATAAAGATCTTGACTACTAGCACAGATGCTGATTTAGAGGCAAATAAATACAGACATGATATTAGGCATTGCGATCCTCCCACCTTCAAGATACATCATCAGAAGGGAGTGTTCTTCATCTTTAAATCAAAACATCTTGCTCTAGAGACAATTCTGACACCACTGTAGAAAGCAGTGGTTACATTTTTCATATTGGCTGATTCATATTTTTCATTTGTCCCCCTAAATGAATATGGGTAAATCTTTTTCCAAGTACCCCTTTTCTTTAGGTTGGAGATTGATGTCCTCACTGATTTTTATTATAAACATGCTTGTGCTTTTGTTTGTTTATAGAATGCAGAGATGCTGAGCAGTCTTGAGTCGGCCTCTGTTCGCATCTTCAAGCCACCCTCTGCCTCGGCTCTCTCCGCTGCCCCGCGTTTCCAGACCGCCGGGCCACTGCAGACCAGCACCCCTCCTGTCCAACTGCCCGCGACCAGTGTGACCCCTACAGCCCCAAGCCTATTGCCCAGCATGGAGCCTTCACGCATGGCCACCATCCAGGAGGACCCCAGCTATGACTCTCACCTGGACGAGCAGGCACTGGCGGAGGAATTCCCCAACCCAGGCTCTGCCCCCCGCTCCTTTGAGGACCTGACCGACAGCCCAGAAAAAGCCTTGTCTTTTAGGATGAAGAGACACAGGAGCAGCAAAGAGACAGAGTGCTGAATTTGTGTGTGTGTTAGATTAAAATTTTGGCAAAAAAAAAATCAAATTTACACAATTTTCCCCTTACACTACATGTAAGTCTTCAGTTTTGAACTAGAGCTAATATAGCTCACAAATAATGTAGGCAAATAGAATTGTGTAAACTGCACACCTAAATGATCTCCCAACCCATGTGGTATAAAAATTGGCAAAAGTACATCACCTAGCTACAACCAGCAGCCATGTGGAAGCCTGAAGCCTTTCTGTCTACTTATCTTGGCTGACTGCATTAGAGATAAGGGGAAATTGTGTAAATTTGATTAAGATCGGTGAGTCAACAATAGAAAGAATGAGTGCAAGTGACAGCATGAATGCTGGTGGAGAAACAGAATAGGCAGTGCTTGCATAAGTGAAGTGTGGGCTGGCGGTTATGTAAGGGCGTTACAATCTATAGTATTCAGAAGGCAGTATGCTTTAGATAATCTGAAATTCCATATAGTATGAACATAGAGTTTAATGCTCATGTTTATGTAATGCTCAGTTTAATGCTAAGAATGTAAGGACTACAGGATTGCTATATAACTACATGTTGACTCTGAATCTTTTTTCAAGTGGGATATTAACTACGCACACTGGGTTGTACCAGATCTATGCACATACGACCAGCTTTATTGTTAAACGCTAATAAAGCAAACAGAAGTTTACAAGCCTGTTTAGTTATAGGAGTCCTAACAGGCATCCAGTACAGGGAAGCATGTACTGTGTAATATGGCTCTGCTTGAAACAGCCTACTTTATACTGCTCACGTACTTACTGTACCCCTAGTAGTAAATAGTATGCAGTATGCGACCAACATGAATTTATCTGTTATGCCAAAGATACCAGGATGTTGTACTACTCTGGCCAAATATTTCAGCATGCGGCCAGAGCGATCTTTGTGATCTACTGCATCCCAAAATGCAACATATTCATTTCAAGAGGACGTAACCACTGATGGTCATGTGACCCTGTAGTACAGTACACTGTACATGATGTTAAACGTCACATACTGGATACTATACTGTACACTACAATACAGTATATAGTAGGTACTGGTTCACTATGCAGTACATAGTATGTTGTTTCGAACACAGCCTGTTTTTGGTTCAGCTGTACTTTGATACTTTTGTATGCATTATTACTACTGCAGTATTGTGCATCTTTAGGCGTTGGGTCACACTTTATTTTGATGGTCCCCTATAGTTTATCTATAAAAGCCCATATTGTCAGTAAACGACCTGTGGATTATCAACAGCTTTAGGGTTAGGACAAGGATCAGGTTTAGGGTTAGGATTAGGTTTAAAGTGCACATTTGGGTTGAAGAGGTGATTTAAGCAGATTTTAAGTTAAAGACAAGGTGAGCATCATCTACAGAGGACCATTAAAATAGAGTGTTACCATAGATTGTTAGTTTCGATCAACAAAATAATGAATATAATGAGTAGTGACTCACTGGAAGTTACTTTACAGCAGAGGTCTTAAAAAAAAATCTAAACCTTGAATCCAATCTCCGGTTCAGGTGGATCTAGTCCCACTTTGTTATGTACATGGAGAAATATCGGATAGTGGTGCGCTACAGTTGATGTAAAAGTTTGGCCACCTAGTGTAATACCAACCTGTGAATACAGGACTGGAAACTGGATTCAAAGATTTGAAGATAGCCTCTGTGTTTTTCTGCACTAACACACCTGATTTTGCAGTGCAGTTGACTTTAAGGAGAGAACTTGATATTAGTGGGAGATGTGACAGTATTTTTCCAGTTTCAGTGGTATAGTTCTGGAAATACACAGGTATTTGGGATCTTTTTCATATTCACCAGCAATTTAAAACCAGCGTTTCTGTCTTTGCTTATCATTTGTGTATTCTCTTTTCTGGTGCTCCTTTATGCAAGACAATCTTAACATTTCTTTATGTAGGTGTAGAATGTTGGTTTAATAACTGATTGTAGTTCATATGTTTAAAATGTAAAGGCCTGTCCGGACAGATATACGGCCTTCTGATGCTGAAATATCAGTATCAGCAAATATTAAGATTAAACAGTTGGTCATTTGTAATATTCAGGAACAGTTTTTAGCACAGAGAGTATTGTTAATGTATCAGTTCTGTTTTATATTTTTAAGCAATGTACCGAAAAAGAGCAGCATCCAAAGTGCCTTTCTGTATGTCCAAAGAGTTTTTCTCTCATGCTGCCTGTTTTGTTTGAATATTTTTGTTCCTCTCGAGTATTATGCAGCATTGTCAAACTCCTGCAGTAGGATCAACATATATGTTCAGAACACCTGAATCTTTGGCATTTACTTGAATGTAGTGAAGATGAATTTGCATCATGCTGTGTCCTCCTTTGTAGTTCAAGTGAAACCACTTCCTTGTACCTAACTTGTAATGTTTCTAAAATGCTGTTTTTGTTATGTAGTTTGTTCTGCTGTGTTTTGTTTTTGTGCATTTTCTTTGTGAGCATATCCTGATGGGTGGCTGGAGTATTTAGAATGTATGCCACAACATTATGGACATTTGAATGAATTAATATCTCTTCAGCTGTGATTTTATTTCTTATAATAAATTTAAAGTTACCCTTAATATAGGTTATGTTTTTGTATATAAAACACAAGAATGGTGTGGGGTAGTGAGGATTTTTTTTTAATTAGGTCAACATACTGATCCATAGAAATCAGATCTTTTTACCTTGAACTTATAAAAATGAGAAAGAAACTTGACATTAATACACTATTATATCCATTCAAATTGAATTTGTTTTCTTTAATTCAAACATTTAAGACTGGACACTGTCTACAATGTTGATTTACGGTGTCAGAGCAGGGGATGGTTTTCTGCTTCTTTCAGGCTTGTATTGCCTCAGTAGTAACAGACTGAGCAGCTGTCTGGACTGTTGAAAGCTGAGGTTTTTGGGCTGAAGAGCAGGTCAGAACAGGAAGGCACCTGGACATCTTATTTACATCACAGGGTTCATAGCGTCATACAGCCTCTGCACAGCCAGCTCCACCATCTCTTTAAGAGACTCATCATCTGCACTGCTGTCCTCATACTCCACCGTCTGCACACAAAAGCAGGGTTGGACTTGTAATGGTTGTTACCCACATATGCATGCATGCATGCATCCCCACTCCCAAAAACTTATTGTCTTGCTGTTGTCAGCAATTGAGAAAATGGTGTTTTACAACAAGTGGTTTAAATTAAATGGTGACAGAGCATGGCACTCACCCTAGTCTCTAGGTTGACGTAGACAGTCTTGCCATCCACCGTTATAGACAGATTACTTTTGTCCTTTAAGTCTACACACTCATCACCGAACATGTCTCTGCAAAGTGGAGGATAAAGTGTGCAAAAAAAATATTATAAGTGCATATCTATTACATCAAACTGCACAAAGAACTGAAGAATTTTATGAAGGCCTCTTACTGGAACATGATTTGCAGTCTGTTCTGGAACACATCTGGATCCACCTTCTCCACACTTGGTTTTATGGCTAGAATAAGAAAATGACCAGATGAATCTCATACATCACTGTGATTTCTAACCCACTATTTAAATCTCCCCTATAGTACAGCACCAATCAATCAAGTTACATCACATTGCAAGCTTTTCTCAAAATGCAACATAATTTGGCAACTGATTGTGCTTTCAGAAGAGCACCAACGGCCCAATTCTGTGTATGTGAGCCGACAGGCACCCATCCATCATAAAGAGCAAAGCCATCCTTTCCACTCAGAGAGCAGCAGGACCGATAGGGCCTATTCTGCTCTCTTGCAGAAATGGCTGTGGATGGCTGTTATAGTGGGACTTTAGCCTTCTTTAGCCATATTTTAATATGTGTAAAAAACAGCATGTGCTTCCTTTTTCATGCAAACGTTGCCTATTACTGCATAGTTCATTTCTCCTATTCTCGACTAAAAATACATACATACCTTTTTGAGCTTTTGGATTTGACTGCACCTCCAGGACCACTGTAGTGACTGCATCAGCGTACATATCATTCAAAGGGTTGGAAACCCACTGTGACAATACAGACACATACTTAATTTAGCATCCTTAAATGCATTAGTATTACGAATTATGTATTATAGGTCTGCTCCTAGGAGTGGGCAATATGCCAAAATTGACCATTATTGTGATTAATTCCGTCACATTATGTCATAATATGTTTTTCTGAGCATATTGTGTAATTTATAACCATATAAAGAACACTGACTGTTTCATTACAAAGACAACAGAATATTTAACTGTATTTTAAGTGCAGCACAGTTTGTGAAATGTTAAAAATGCCTAGAAGTACTGTGACGTTATAATTCTGCCGCACTGATCACCCCTATCTGCTACCTAGCTCGAGCCCAATGAATTTCGGACTGTGTTCGGCCATGCACTGGGTTAGGCTCTAGTTTGTTTTCTAACAAATGATTTAATGTAGTAGATTTGTTTATATTTGAAGGAATATGCCTAAGTAAATTTCATGCATTATCTCTTGCTCTTTTTCTTTTTGTCTCGAGATCTTGTGATATTTAACGTTATGTCATCATAGCAAAACAAAGTGTTTTATCAAGATAACATTATGTTGTGATAATGGCACAAATATCTTAAGGTTGAGAAAACCCCATTTATATAAATATAAAAAATATAAATAACTTGAGATCTTAAGACAAATTAAAATAACTCATTATCATGGAAAAATGGACTAAAAAAGCATGAATCTATGGCCCTTGAGGGCTTTTGTAGTCAGATCTTCAGATCTTGAGTAATACAGCCCCTGGTCTTACATCAGATAAAAAGCACACTGGTCATTTCTGATAAGTATTTGATCTATGATAACAGGATTGGCGTGTCGTCTCTTCATTAACACGTTTACTGTTTCTGCAATAATCCACCCCTGTTAGGGTTCAGGTTTCAAATTTAGCAGTATGACTCGGACCTAGTTGGGCTTGGTCTCAAAACTGTAGGTAAGGGTCGGGTTCGGCCTTCAGTGTTATGCCTGTGCAGACCTCTGCTATATATCCAGCAAATGATTATCTGCCCTCACCTCCAGTAAGACCATGTTGCCGTCATGAACCAAGGTGATGCTGTTAAAGATCCTCAGTGTGGTTTTCTCTGCTGCCTCCACCTCCTCTACATTCCCTAAAACAAAAGCAATACACATTTTGAGCTGTTGGAAAGATGGAACAGAACAGGCTCCAATTTCCTCACATCACAAGGCTGGTGGTATTATAGACCCTTCTTTTAATTACAGACTGCCAAAAAGCAGAAATCTAGATCCAGACCCCTAATGAGTAATACAAGGGCATTAGTGTCACAGAGACTTTTTCATTTTAAAGTCACGTATTAGTATTCCACACACAAAATCATAGTAAGTACCTGCCAAGTAGCATAACTGGTTGTGCAGTAAAGGGAAGGGTCCAGTGAAGGGAATGGCCTGAGTCTGCTTCACTGTGCTCATAGCCAGATCTGTATAATCTAAACAGAAAAAAGAAACATAACATTAACGCTCTAAAAAGCCTGATTTGTATAAAATATATACTACTGAAAACAACCTACTGGAGAGGTCAGAGGGGGTGAGGATGTGGTAACTGAAGTTGCGTTTCACCAAAATCCCAGAGACCCTCTGGCCCTGTACACACTTTTTATCAGCAAGTGAGCCCATCACCTGCAGAAACAGACACAAATGATAATGAAACCAGTCAGTTACCCTAAAAACAAACATACCAACTACAAAATACATTTCATGATCAAATGTTCATACACCAAAAATCGCTAACAGCGATAACAATAACATTTCATGCCTTGAGGAATATAATAAAAGTGTTCTACAAAAATGTGTCTTGCATAAACATTTAGCGTTAAACTAGCGTTTAATGGGCATGGATTTCAACAACAACTGGGCTTTTTCAAACAGAGATTATGAGGACATATTCATATGTAAATTCAAGCACTGCGCTTTCTTGAGAGGTTTATGCTTGTGGCATTCCTGTTCTTGCCATACTCTCAGTTTTCACACAGCACAGTTGCACTAAAAATATGCCGGATAGAAATGTTTTTAAAAAGCTGGCATATTCCTTTAAGGAGCAGGAAACATGTACAACACATAAGGGAGCAAAGTTCTCACCTTGGCAAGTTTTTCTCCCCTAAAGTTGAGGGTAACTGCCTCAGTGTTGCGGGGATTATGCACCTCAATGTGAACCTCGTCATTGTCTTCATACTCTCTAATGAGGGCTGCCTTTAGACGTGCCATCTCATTCTGCTCCCCATGCACCAGGATCTGAACACAAGGTAAAAGTTCAAAAACACATCTTCCAAGTGATACTGGAAAAGGAACAGAACTGGTCTCAAATAATACAGCTTACCACGTGGGGTGGTTTGAGTGCTCGAATGAACTCGCTGGTCTGCTGGTAGTCAGTGTGAGCCGAGAAGGAGATGTAGTCCACAGACATCTTCAGCTGCAGCTTCTGGCCTGACATGGTTGTGATCTCCTCTGGCTCAGACATGATGTGCTATATAGAGCCGATTCAAGAGAAACACAAGGGAAACAGTTAATTGCATAGACTGAAGCCAGATGTTTGCTCTAGTGCAACTACAGCTAAACTATAAAAACAGAACATTTGGGCTTGAAATAGTACTAAAGATGTGCATTAAAAATCCTGACCTTATTAGTTATATCAATATCAGATCAGGGAAGTCAGCAGTTTGCATAAAGCAATAACGTCTCATGTAAAAAATTTCAACACTACACAAAGTATTATTAGCTAAACACATCAGTCTATGTGGCAGGTCAAGGTAACTGGAAACAGCATGTTACTTATATACCTTAGCAAGCGTTCCCTCCACGCAGTAGCCAGCAATGATAACGCCATTCCTCTTGTCAGTGCACCAACTCTCAAACAGCTCCCTGGAGAGACCACTCTGCATCATACCAGGAGATGCCATCACCACACTGGGGCCGATGTCATCAAAATGGTCCATGCTCTGGAGAAGAAGACAGAATGTGAGAGTCAATTCTCTAATCTCTGCAGAGTTACAGAGACAGTGACAAAGTGTCATTGACTGGCCTGGTCTGGCTTGATTCATCGGAATGTGACACCCAATTTACAAAAATGGTATTTGTATTATGTGTGTTAAACTTGCCCACCGGCTGAAATGCTGATATCAACTAAAATGAGTTTTTATGCACAGGAATTTAGTCTAGCCTTGGACAACAATTTCCTTTAGCTAACTAAATTAAATCTTAATCACTGCCAGACAAGTTACGATGAGGTAACAGGTCCACTGCAACTCATTACATGCCCACCTTGAGGTTGCTGATATGCTTGAAGACAAAGGGGTTGTTGATGTTAATGGCCTTGCGGATCTTGTCATTCATGGCATTGACATACGTCTGGTACACAGCCATGCACTTTTTGGCCAAGGACGAGGCATAGTAGATAGGAATGTCGTGAAGCTCAGGATGATTCTGCCAGTACTCATCTGATTTTGGTGAGAGACAGAACCACAGTTACACTGTGTCCTCAGCATGAAGTTAGAGAACATCCACCATTTACAAGAGATGTGCAGGGGTAACCAAGTACTCCAATAATCTTATCAGGTGCTAAGAGAAAATGTGATGTGATGATGTAAAAGAAAAGTCACGCTGACAACCAGTACATCTTTTTTGGTAACCCTTTGCCTAAACCCTGCTAAATAACAATGACATATCCATGCCACAAACATGTCATGGCAGCTGTCATATGGTATCATGAAAGTTTTTTTTCCAGTGATCTATCGGTGTCATGTTAACATTACCAGTATTTGTCATGACAGATTTGATAATGTTTGATGTTATGACGCTAAGTGTACTCTAGTTAGCTGTTTATGGCATGGTTATGTCAATGTTATGTAGCATGTTTCCAGCATTTTTTCTACATTCAATATTCCAGTTTTTTCCTCTATATACTGTCTGCCAAGCACAAACGTGCATCACTGACTGGAGCAAAGCAATGGCTCAATCTCAGTGGGAATCTTATTTCATATAGACAGGGGAAGGGATACCTTTCTTACAGTTACACTAATATCAATGTAATAACTCTTCCTCAAATATCAAAATTAGTCAGCATGTGCATCCCTACTGTTCTCACCAAGGATAAGTAGCAGCTCCTGGGCTCGACCCAGGGCAAAGACAGGGATGAGACAGCGCCCCTCCCGATTCACAATGTCATGAACTGTGTTACAAAAGCGGGCTTCTCTTTCTTCTCTCTTCTCATGGATGTGTGTGCCGTATGTGGACTCCTGCAAACAGGAAGGGAAGGGTAAACTATGATGGGTGAAAAGAAGACCGGTACAAGCATAGATGAACTAAGTCAGTAAAGGTAACTGCTCAATCCCCGACGGGATAAAGACACGATAGAAGCAATGTTACTCACAGTGATGAGGATGTCTGGTTTAACACTAGGAATCTCTGCTGCCATTAGATGTCTGTCTTCTTGACGAGAGAAGTCTCCTGTATAAAGAAGCTATAAAAAAGAGACTCCGGATAAATAAGCTTCATTATGCTCAAGATCTGAAAGAAAGTACAGAATGAACTTTACCCACCTTTACACCTGCAATCTCAATCATGAACATAGCTGCTCCCAAAACGTGCCCAGCATGGTAGCACCAGAACTTAATGCCAGCCACCTCTTTCACTTCATGGAAGTTTATGGTCTCGATCTTGTCCATGCTCTCCTCCAGGTCTGTTTCTGTATACAGCATGTCGTCTGCTGAAATATTACTACAGATCGAAAGGAAAATAACATTAGTTTTACATGGGGATGTAGGACAGATTCATTTTACCACAGGATGTCTGTAATGTTTATGACCCATTCTCATGTGATAAGAAATCTCTGTATAAAATACACAGATAACAGTGGCTACTTGATTTATGCAGCGTCATCACACCATATGCAATATGTTCAGCTGCTCACAATTAGAAAGCATGTCCACATATTTACTCCAATTCACACAGGATAATGTGTGTTTATTCCTACAGTTAGTTATAAAAGATAGTTATAAAACTTCATAGTCATAAAAAGAGAAATCCCACGTAAGATCAATGAGAAACAACACAAACAGATGCAATCGTTGTGTACCTGACTTTGACATAATCTGAAAGCAGCCAGCGGTAGATGGCTTTGGTTGCATGTGTCATAAAGGTTCTTCCTTTAAAGCTTGTTTTTTGCAAAAACCACGGCAATGCCCCACAGTGGTCCAGATGAAAACTAAGCAAAAGGAAAAAATATGTTCTCAAAATACTGTACAGTTGTAAATAAATCTATAACACGTTTTCATTAAAAAAAAAGAAAAGCACTCACTGGCTGATGAGTAGAAGATCGATTTCAGCAGGATCAATCAGATCAATGTAAGGCAGGGCATCCATTCCCTCTAGGCCAGGATGGATGCCACAGTCCAGCTGCAAAGAAATAACTTGTAAGCCACTGTCAAGGCATTTCAGAAGGAAAAGAACCATACTGTAATAAACCTACCATAATTTTACGCCCCTTAAACTCCAAGATGATGCATGACCTGCCCACCTCTTGACCAGCACCTCTGTTAAACAGAATAAAGGAAGAGTCAAAACAAATGAGCTGCAATGCAAAGTTGTTTTTAGAGAGTTAAAGAGGAAATCTGGCCAAATGAAAAATTTTAACCATGTTGTGAACATGCCTACTCAAATCATACAGTTGTGCCAGAAGAGTCCAGACAGTGAGACTTTCTGGTTTAAACCCCCTTCAGATGGTGCATCTTGAAGGTGAGAGGAACTTGAAAGTGGGAAAAACTGCAATCGTTTTTGGATGGGCTGTTTAATATGTTTTCCCCTGTTAGCTAGCTAAGAATATTCTGAATATTCCTTCTCTATTCGTGAAAAATGATACACAATCATTATTTCTGACAAACTAATGGAGATGAGGGATGCAAAGATGAACGACAGAATACTACAAAACAAAACAAACAACATATTAAATGCTAGTTTTAGGCCTGAGTGCCCGTTTAAGTACATTGTTAAATAGCTGTTAGCTGCTTTTTACTACACCATACAACGTGCAACAGCTTAGTCATGTTAGCTGTAAACTGCTTTCACATGTGGATCGACTACAACCATCTTCCACTAAAAGTGTTGTTACTTCAGTGAAATAGTGACTCAAGTAGAAGTAACAGTAACCAACAAAATGAGCGAAGTAGGAGTTATCAGGCCAAATTCAAGCAACGAATTCAAGCACGGAGTTCCCTACAAGAACTGTAAGGTGGGCGCATCAACTAAGCGGTTCAAGCACCGTTACCAACAGAACAGACGCGGATAAAAAGTCATTTCCTCAATAAAAGTTTCACTTTTAAAACTTTTAGTACAGAAGCACAAGTGCCATGATTTAAGAACCCTCACACGTCCATCTTAATCGTACTCAAGTGTCTATACCCAAGTAAATACAGGCACTCGCCACAGGCTAATTAACAGGCTAACTGACTGAGCTAACAACTTACATGAGGCTGAAAGTTGACATGTTCGCCAGCTTCTTGTTCGAATTATTCCGTTCCACGTTAAAAGGTGCAGCATTTACATTTTGGTGCTGCAGCATTTAAGGTGGAAAGGGAAATTCGAGACGAGTCTGGCTAACATGAAGCCAACTTTCAGCCTCGTCTACATGAGTTTGAATGAACTCACAGAGGTCTGATGAGGAGCTGGTCACTTTCCTCAGCGGGCACCGGCACGTCTGCTTTACGCTTCGTAGCCATATTTACAGTAAAAACTCGTAACGCTTGTTGAATTTTCTAATCACTCCATGTCGAACTGAAGGTTTAACTGATATTACAAAGACAAAAGCGTGCGCGCTCAGTTCTGAGCGTGAAGTTCACCAACGACCAACAACATCCGGTGTAAGTCGCACGGTTTTCAAAATAAAGGTCTGCGTTTCATCGTAAACTGCCCATGTAGAACTAAGGATTACAAAAGTCCCATGTCGCTTTTTAAAATGACGATAATACGTTTTGCAAAAATACAAAACGATTAACCTACACCGTTACAGAAACGGCTGACTCTGAGTGTAAATATACTGTTTATTAATCTTTGCAGCTAAATTGTAATCAGCATTACAAAATAAGCATGGAATAAAGTAAGGGATGCCTTTCAGTACCAGTTCTGGCTGGAATATCCTTTACAGCACTAGAACTGCTGGGACCATATTTTACAGTGCTAGTTCTTTCTGGACCATCTTCAACAATACCAGTTTGACTGGATCATGTTTTACAGCTTCTCTAATTGGCCATTTTAATCATATTATCTTTGGTGGGGACATCTTTTACAGTACCATCCAACTGGACTTACAGTACAAGTTCTGACTTGGACATCTTTTACAGTACCAGTTCTGACTGAAACATCTTTTACAGTAACAATGCTCACTGTAATAGGTTTTACAGTACTAGTTCTTTTACAGTACCAGTTCTGAGTGGAACATCTTTCACAGTACCAGTTCTAACTGGAAAATCTTTTACAGTACCAGTTCTAATTGGAACAGCCAGTACCAGTTCTGACAAGAACATATATTTTAACACCAGTTCTTACTGGAACATCATTTACAGTACCAGGAACATCTTTTTTGTTTTACAGTACCAGTTCTGAGTGGAACCTCTTTCACAGTACCAGTTCTCACAGTATCATCCTTTACAATACCAGTTTAGACTGGATCATCTTTTACAGTACCAGTTCTAATTGGAACATCTTTTAAAGTAACAAGTTCTGACTGGAAGATCTTTTATAGTACCACTTCTTACTGGAACATTTTTCACAGCACCCGTTCTTACTGGAATATATTTTGTAGTACTAGTTCTACTTGGAACATCTTTTACGGTGCCTGCTCTGATTGGACCATGTGCTATCGGTATGCTGAGCTGTTGTTCCTCCGCCTCTTCAGCCCTCTCTGCAGTTCACACACTCAGTAAGGAGTGCTGGGCAGGTAGGCTGGGCTTCAGGAGAGGGCGAAGGTGAGCGCACGGAGTTAAATGGAGTTGTAACTCGGCGCGGTGAACTGGAACAGTCCGTCCGTCTTTTTGGGATGTGATGGAGTTTTGTGACCTCTGCTCAGAAGCTGCTGCTGCTCGCTGCGTCTGTTTTTATTCACTCATGTTCAGGAAGAACCGCGAACTCTGTGAAGAAGCTTAATCACGAATAGACTCAGCAGCGGGTACTGAACTGTTCGCAGCCTGGTTGCTGTTTTCTTTTTGGGAAAAAAAAGTGGACAACCCTGTCTTATTCTGATCGTGGTTAAAGAAGATAACAGCCATGCCAGACCAGCTGTCAGTGTCTGAGTTTATGGACATTACCAATGAGGACTATAAAGCTCCCACGACTTCGATTTTTACCACCCGAATGAGCCACTGTCGGAGTACAGTGGCCGCTCTGGAGGAGGTGAGTGAGGAACTTTGGACACAGTCTGAAGACTTTTACTAGTAAAACTGTGAAAGTGCTGGAAGGAAGTGCGCTTTTTGTGCACGGGCTGGTTGTACCTATGGGCTGTTTTACTGCGAGAGCTCTCGTCCTCGGCGAGTGTTTAAATTCTTTGCCCAGAGAGGAAAGGAAAATTACTTCCTTCTTGTGAAATCAAAGGTTTCTCCATCCCAGTTTAGCTGGAGGTGAACCTCGCGCACAGTCCGCTGAACCCAGCTCTCAGGCTGGACTACTGCGTAAAAGAAAGCTTATTCTTATACATATTTCATATATTTGGAGATATATTAAAGTTCTTACATATGCAAGTCTGTGCTGAAACACTTGGAACTTAGGACTTTTCTGGATGAAACGCTGCTGCTTTCTGTTGAACCACTAACGTTACGGAAATCTGATATATGCCCATATATGATAAAGTGTCAGGCATGTTTTTCAGAATATATGTACATATATGTTATGTACATCTAGTCCCAGTTCTGAATGGATCATCTTTTACAGTAGCAGTTTTGACTATAATATACATATAACATACAAACACACACACACACACACACATATATATATATATATATATATATATATATATATATATATAGCATATGTGATATATATATATATATATATATATATATATATATACATATATATATATATATATATATATATATCACATATGCTATATATATATATATATATATATATAAAACAGTTATGTGTTTGATAGGTGGGTGAGCATATATGCACAATATATGGATATATATCATGTCTGACATATGTCTGATGCATGTGTCTGATACAAACACTGAAAGATTTATTTAAAGCAAAAAAATCTGAATGAAATACACCAACAACATACATGCAATATAAAATTTGTATACAACTTATATAGCATAACAACAACTTATATAACATGCAGTTAGCATACAGTAATGTTTTATTTCATATATTGGTAAATATATAAGTTACACATGTTTGATTAGTATATGTTGATACATGACTGAAGTATATGTCCCATATTGAAAATGGTCAGTTTCAAATAAGTTGGCACATATATCATAAAAATGTCCATATGTGACTAATATAAGTTGGTTAGAAGGGAAATCCATATATGCCAATATATGTCATTTACTTGAAATCTTCATATTGCCCTATATCAGATTTCCGTATGAGAAGACAACAAGACTTTCTCCATGATAAGTAAACTGAACTGCTGAAGTCTACAATCAGATGCTTGATTATCATTGCCAGTCAGTGGCCTCATATTAACCTTATTGAACTTATTTTTAGTCTGTTCTGGAAGCCAAAAAGTCAATTTTAGGCAAACTTTGACAGGCCAATATAATATCAGTGCCTGTTGGATCCATAGAAACCAGAACAATGTATTCGTGACTGTGTTGACTTCCAAGAGTGTACTTCCTAGATTTAGTTGTAGTTGAAGTCCAGCTGTTTTTGAAATGCAAAGCTTAGGCCAATGTCAGGAAACTGAAAGCTGTGTTGCGTGTCAAAGTTCTTTCTTTCATTTTAGACAGTAGTGACCAAACACATGATAAAATTACAAGTCTTTTGTAAGTAAGAAAGAAGCAGTTTTAACTATTATAGCAAGACCTTTCACTGGCAAAATGACCAGCGTGTGAACTTCCATTTCCACTGTAGTGTATGGTTAAGCTGGAATGCGAACTGCTGTGTGAATATGAAACAAAGATGTAGGGTCACTGTGGTGAATATTTGCCTGTTATAATTGCTTCAAGAAGTTGGAGTTGACTAAGCGGCCAAAATGTTTTTAATTTGTGAGCCATTACATAAGGTCCTGTCCTCTGAAACATATGTCATGGTATTTCTGTGATACTTGCAGTCTCTTCAGTCAGGTGTCGGCATCTGTTTTAGCTGGTGTGGGCTCACTATGAGGAAGTGATTTCTCAGACAGCTGATATGAGAGTCCAAAGCGGTGCTTTGACACCAGTTACCCTGTTTGAGTTCAGCCAAAAGAGGAAGTAGCCAGTCAGGTCATTCAACTGTCGAGTAATGGTAAGTCAAGGTGATCAGACTGCAGTATAAGCTTGAAAGTGTTGTGGCATTCGTTTGAGGGTCAAGATAAAGTGGCCTTGCTACCATAAAACAAGTTGGACTCATTGTGAGTTACTTTTTTCATTTCACTGTGATGTCTGTGTTTGTTTATTAGAGCTGCACAATATGCCATAGTTTGTATTATCTCCATAAAAAAGCATTGCCAAAAGAGCAAGACACTGCCCCCTCCCTGCCCGCACAGAAGCCTAAGATCACCGTGGCCAATGGCAAGTGTAGGCTGGGGGGGTATAAAGCCCGCTGCATTGAACTGTGGAGCAGTGGAAGTGCAATCTCTGGAGTAATGAAGGCCTATCTGTAGGATGAGTTGGAGTGATCTAGAACTAATCATCGAACATCAGTACCGAATGCAATCAGATCTTCACAGCGATGTTCCAGCATCTTGTGTAAAGCCGTCCCAGCAGAGTAGAGGCTGTAGTAGAGGCTGTAGAGGCTGTAGTAGAGGGGGGACACACTTCTTACTATCTTTGGGGTGTAATGATACACAAAATTCAATTTGATACAATACAGTGATGTCTCAGTATGACACATTTTTCAATACGGTAAATATAAATAGTATTGTAGTATTTTCAGGTCTGATAAGATTTTCAGTTCTGAGGTGAAGATTCAATTTGATTGTCAATATTTTGCAGGTTAAACATGTTTAAAATGATTCTTCAAGGCTCTAATCTTATACTACACAGATTAATATGCCTCAGACTTTTTCATTACCTCTTTCATTGTGCCTCCCTCAATAAACCAAATAAATAATAATTTGTGTGTAGTTGCATGCACAACATAAGCCCTGCCCCTTCCCTGCCCACTTTACACCGAGAGTCTGCTTTGAAATGCCTAGTTTTGGTCGTTGACAGTGGTTTCAATGAAAGTTGATAAGTGAGAGACCCTCGGAAGAAAGTGAGGGGCAGATACAGTTTTGAACAGCAATACACAGCTTTAAATTAGATTTTTTGATACATATTGAAATTGTTACAGCCTTGGTATCCAGCATTATGATTGCAATATATTTTAATTGCAATTATATTTTATTTGTATTGTGCTGCCCTAGTGTTTGTGTGTGTTGGGCTAGTTTGAGTGTTGTTCACTTAATTCACTGCATCAAAACATAGACATTTTGTTTTGGTAAGACTGTGTGAAGTGGTGAGTTCCCTAAACAGACACAGAGGAAAGATGGTTGTTAATTCTGCTGATTGACGTGTTACACTCCCCTTTCCAGTTCTTCCACTGTGCTGAGTCCTGCTGAAACCTGCCTCTGATGGAAACTCCTAGTTTTGTAGATTGCTCTCTCTCTCTCTCTCTCTCTGTCTGTCTCTGTGTCTCCCTGAAATGTGTTCCCCTAAGGCTCTGATTGCCCAA